TAGATATTTATAGACCTGGATCAGGTCCTCTCTCAGTCTTCTTTTCTCAAGGCTGAACAGACCCAGTTCACTCAGCCTTTCCTCATAGCAGAGATGCTCCAGGCCCTTCACCATCTTTGTGGCCTCCGCTGGACTCTTTCCAAGAGATCCCTGTCTTTTTTGTACTGGGAGCCCAGAACTGGACGCAGTACTCCAGATGAGGCCTCACCAGGGCAGAGTAGAGGGGGAGGATCACCTCCCTCGACCTGCTGGCCCGCTCTTTTTAATGCACCCCAGGATGCCATTGGCCTTTTTGGCCACAAGGGCACACTGCTGGCTCATGGCCAACCTGTCGTCCACCAGGACACCCAGGTCCCTCTCCGCAGAGCTCCTCTCCTGCAGGTCATCCCCCAACCTATACTGATGCATGCAATTATTCCTCCCTAGATGCAAGACTCTACACTTCGTTTTGTTGAACCCCATCCGGTTTTTTTCTGCCCAGCTCTCCAGCCTGTCCAGATCTTGCTGAATGGCAGCACAGCCTTCAGGTGTGTCAGCTTCGTATCATCAGCAAACTTGCTGAGGGTGGCCACAATCCCCTCATCAAGGTCATTGATGAAGATGCTGAACAAGACCGGACCCAGCGCTGACGCCTGAGGAACACAGCTAGTTACAGGTCTCCAACTGGACTCTGCACCGCCAATGACAACCCTCTGTGCTCAAGGAATGGGGCTACCTCAGGAGCTGCTATCTATGTATGGCTGCAGGAGCAAGTGACTGAAAACAGGGTGATGAGTTGGAACAGTGAAAACGTAGGTAACAGAATCACTGGAAAAGTCATTGTAACAACAACAAAAAAAAAATTAGCCTCCATTCCATTACAAATTGTGCATGCAAATTTATATGTGAAAGGCATAATGTGTGGTTTTGTGAAAACACTTCACCTTTTGAAGACTAAATACAGATGGGAAAAAATCAAGATAGGGGAGTAAGGACTTGGGAAATACAATTGAAAAAATAAATAAAGAGGGGAAGTATGACAGATGAAATTTTCTCATGCAATGAAAAACAAATAATGTCCTCATTTAGTCAGATGCCAGCTGTCATGGCATGATACTGGCCAGTCATTGGATCTATAGTCTTATCAGACTGATTGTATTTTACTCTTTTCTACTCCTGGATTTTCATAGTAAACAGATTGTGGAATAAAGGCAGTAGTCTGCTCAAGTTCAGTAGTGAGAACATCTGTTTCCATTTGTTTGTATTTCTGCTACAGGAAGAAAAGCAAGCAATCATGTACTTGGTGTACCAATTTAACTTAAAGACTCAAACACAGAAATTACATGACACTTTTACCAGAGTAGCAAATGCAGATAATTTGATTTTGGACTCTGTGATAGATAATGATGAGTCTTTATTAGTAAACTCTATTCTGAAGAAAAGAACTCACCTAGGTGAAATACTATCTGCATAGTACAGACTTTACATAAAGTGGATGTATTACACAGAGACTAATAAAAGTCTGCAAAATTAGAAAAATACCCATATTCTTCGGTGCTAAATATTGCACAATAGTAGAGAATCCCTCTTGGAGTTTTCTGATGTCTGTGTTGTGTTGTTGTTGCTGTTTATAAATTACCACACGACCCACCAGCTGTCATCATAAAAATTTTACTGGCACTCTGTAAACATTAAATCAGCATGCTAAAATCAAGCCATGTGTGGTAACAGCTGATGCTCTGTTATGGAGCACACATGCAGGAGAGAAGTGTGCACCATGACTCCCTGGATTCCTACTGCTTACAAGTCCCTTGCTTCATAAGACTGTGTTTCAGGATTCATTTTGTACCCAGTTGTGCCCTTTGATTGATGTGCAGAAGGTTGTCTGTATCTCGTGGGCTGAGTAATTCACTTTCTCAATAGTACCTGCTTTCCTGGATCCTTCTAAGTTGTGCAGTTTGTTACTGCCACTTCTTTTCTTTGGCACCGCTTACTTCAGTGTAAATCTTGCTAACATGTACACAAGGCTCTTGTTAGCTTTTGAATCAGAGTCAAATTCTTTCTGTCATTGAAGGACCACATTTCTGATACATAACAGCAGTCTGCATTAATGACATGCTACAGTGAAATGAGATCAGTCCTGATCTTGGCTCAGAAGTTTTGTCAGCCCTAATGTCACATCCTGAGGATGAATCATTTTCAGTTTAAAGGAAAATTGCTCTTGGACTCCATTTACTCTCTCTCTCTTCGACCTAATTACCAGAGAAATCAAAGGCATGATACATTTTGTGATCCATCTGCCTCAGTGGTAAACATGGTGAAATCTACTGATTTCAACCAGCCCAGAGAGGGTACATGGGGGCTATAGTAGAAGTAGACCAAGCAGCACTCTAATTTAGTCCACAAGCACAAGGAGCTCTTCTGCCAACGTGTCCTGCTGTAGAGGTTTGGGCATTAGCTCTTTTAACTTCTCTCTTTCTCCAGGGTTTACTGCTGGAAGTCCAGGCAGGATGACGGGATGGTCAAATGCCTCTCTATTAATGTGAGTTTGAACCAGCTTCAAAAGTATGTAAAAGGCTGGTAATAGTAAAACCCTAAACCAACAAAATAAAAATGCCTCAGATTTTTTTTTTCCTTCTTTTTTTTTTAATTAATTGTAAATTTGGATCCATTTTTCATTATTTGAATTGAAATGCATTTTGCTGGTACCATGGAACATGAAGCTCTGTAAACAGGATGACTTTGTTCTCAGCAGGGAAATTTGGCAATATTCTTGCAGTGGGCTAAGTACAAACTTGCTTATCTTGTCCCCATTCTTTCTCATTTGAGCAAAGTAAGTGCTGACAGCTGCCAGGGTGAGCCTTCAAGGGAGGAGGAGATGGTAGCTTCCTACCAGATATTCAAGGAGTTAGCAAATATCTGCAAAATATCATATGTAAATTATTTGTAATTCACTATCAGTATATGTTTGCTGTTCCCACTGGCAAAGTCTCAAAATGCAGATCTGCTGATGGAGGACCCCAGATATTCTCAACCCTACTCCACTTTCCTTGCACCCTTGCACCCTCCTGCACAGCACATGTGCCCAATTCCTCCACACAATGTGATTATGCATTTACACAGACTGGCAAGGGGCTCTCCCAAAGAGCAAGGAATCTCATTGTCTTGCTATTGCTGTAAGGAGGTAGGAAGTTTGGGAGATGAGATTTCACCACCTGTCAATAAAACATGCTAAAGCTTGTTAGCTGACAGCCATGATGTTAGCTGTGAATATTTCATAAGCGTGGTGGACAAAGTACCAAGTGTAAATTACTGAGGGCAGCTTCTGAGAGGGTTTCCTGGAAATTATGGTGGGGTGAAATTCATTAAGAGCTACCCTCTGGTATTTGATGTAATTACAGGCATTAATGCCAGTATGATGAAATCCTTACTCAGGAGAATAGTGTATAGCAAAGATACACTTCCCTCAGGCAGTAGGAATAAACAGTGCCTTTCCTCAGTTATTTCCAAGGTAAAGGACGTAACTCTGAATGTGTTTGGAAAATGTCTGAATGTGTCTGGTAGCTCAAATAAATAGCAAAAATGCAGAAGCTCAGACAGTTTAATAACAGTTTAATAAACTTGCTCTGTGAAGTTGGTTTGCAATAGAAACACTTCCACCGTAATCAATTGCAGTGGGAAAAACATTCATTACATGAAGCATAGAGTTTCTGAATGGATGCAGCTAGACAGAAGTCATGCAGGCTTACTGCTGTAATGGCATTACTACAGGATGAACCCATATATTGATAAGGGCATAGACCCTCACCTTTCTAACCCACATCATTATACTAGCAGAGGCCTTTGTAGCTGTGCTGAGAGAACAAAATCCTGCACAGGTTACTCCTAATAAGAAATTCTAGAGTCTGAGAAATCTGATCCAATTAACACATTCTTGATTTTGCAGGATGCCGTGCTAATTACATGCGACCAGTCATTGCTGGGTTAATTAAACATTCATCCAAAAAAACTACAGCACTAATCTAATTAGCAATTACTACAGCTGTCATTACCTCTTTTCACCTACTTTAAAGCTGTGCAAATTCACACTAAGCATCCAGTCCAGCAGACCCCTTACATGAATAGATTTCTTTGATTACAATAATCATCAGCATACAGAAAGAGCTTTAAAAACTGGATTGAATGCTTTACAGTCCAAAATACAAGCTCAGCTCTGCCATTTTTATGTGGAAAAGTCACAGTTTAGGAGTAAGCCATTGTTAAAATCATGAGACTGAAGGATTTCTCGTTTTAATTGTCTTGTGATCTTATTGGAAGTATAGGTCCTACCTTCAAATGGTTCTCTCTAAGAAGAAAATGCAAACAAAGATTCCTATATATCCATGCAGCTTTAAAACATCAGAAATAGAAAACTCTGAAAATTTACTTCTTAGGGTTAAATAACAGACTTAGGAATAAAGATAGAAAAAAAAAATTAGGAACTTTGTTTTTTTTTGTGTGTTTAGACTTTATTAAAATTGAATGTTAGTAATCACAACTCAGAATGTTTGATAAGGTACCTCGCAGTGAGACAGTGGACTCTTAGCTTTTCCACTTGCATACAGCATTCTTTAACAAAGCACCAGTTTTTGGGGTTGGCTATGCATTTGGATGTGCCCAGTAAGGAGAAATTGCTACTGTAAAAGATTGCATTACTTGTTCAGAACTACTTTGTTCTCTAAAGCTGTGTGGTTTCTAGCTGATACTGCCTTTTAGAAAAATATTTTTTCTTTGTTCATAACCTTTGCTTACTCATCCTCCTTTCAGTCTAAAGTGATAGCCCATTTTTGAATCTGGGTGCTAGTTCACTTCATCAGCTGGCATCCTGAGAATATTGATCGATATAATAAAGATAGAACAAATGTTAAAATAGGTTAAAATAAATATTTACTATGTATAATGCATCTGATACAGGGATCACAAAACACTAACAGCTTGTTATTTGAAATGACATTATATATCATACCATAACATACAAAGAGACATAGAAGTTTCACTTGTTAGTCCTCAGTGCAAAAGGACAGACAGAAAGCTTTTCTCAGTTTTAATATTGCAATTTTTATTATTTAAAAACAATTTTCTTTATATTTAAAAATATCTGCATACTATTGTTCAGTTCACTGTCTGCAAGTAGTGTGCAAGCAGCTATTGCAGCAGTCCAGACTCTGTACCAGGTTGTCACTCAGACAGATGCTCTTTTCTATAAAAATTAAACATGGGCCTTGCATTATGAAGCCATTATGGTGAACATATGTTTTTGACAGGTTATTATGACACTTCTGATCATTGTGCAGTCCATTTACAAAGGGATCATTTACCTTGAATTGACCAGCTGTATCAATACTTATTTCCAATACCCAAAGAAAAAGGTGCAGATAGTTCCATAACAGGAACAAAAGTCTGATAGTTTGGCAATAGCACTTGAATAATATTCCCAGCAGATTACAGGACCTGGATTATACACAGGATAAAGTCTGGTTTCTGAAAGGTGATCCATGTCTGATATGTTAGGGCTGCAAGGCAAACCCAGAGAGAAGCAACTGGAAAGCAAGCAGTCAGCTAACAGCCTCTGGTGCTGTGCTGGCAAGGACTGGAATCAGACCTTTCCCAGTAAAAAGCTTTCTAAAATTATTTTGCTGTTTTTCTATCACAGATACGCATCTTCTTTAGTTTAACTGTTGAGAACATGACTTAAACTTATCTTGCTGTCACTGACAACCTTGAAATTCATCAGACAGAAAATGTTTGTCGCCTTTCTAAAGTGAACTCAAACAACAGTAATAACTATCCATTAAATTCTGTGTTTAATATGGAAGTAGACCTGCTTTTTTTCCTCCTTCTACTATGTTAAACTTTCAATAACAATAAATGCAGAACAACTGCAGATTTATAAAAGGAGAGTAAATAGTTTTTATGGCAAAACACCATTTGCAAACATTATCTTAAGTGTGTAAGCTGTCAGGTATGTTGATTTTACTGGAAAGTGAACTCCAGCTGGGAACAATCAGAGGAATTCGTCACAGCTTTCTTTCTGCGTTCTGTCCATTTATATTTTAAATTCTCCAGTCACTCTCATGATATAAAAGCAAATCTGTTTTTGCAATGAAGAGTCTAAAGCCTCCTCTGTGTTACCGATAGAACAATACTGGCGTTCTCAGGAAGTAAACGCAGCATAAACTATCTAGTACTTTAGTTTTTGCAGAAATAAATCACATTAGTTCTTCAGCTCTTGTCTCCTAGTGTGCTAAGATGTTAGGTATAGGAAGGATGGAAAACATTTTAAGATTTATCTTGCTAAAATAAGGCTGTACCCATAAACCACATAATCTTGAGCAAGGAAATATTTGTTAAATTTTAAGTAAAGTTGTTGAAGCAGAGATGCGGTTTAAACAGAAAGTCTATGTCTTTCATATTATGGTGTATGATGAAAGTTTTGTCTCACTGATTATTTTTTTCTTTTCTTTTCTTGGCAAATCCTTATAATCTGGGATTTCAGAGTTACCTTGAATGGGTTAATTGTGCTCTGGTACGTTTCCAAGAAAATCTGACTGTAGAGATCCAGGCAGAGGATCTTCTATCTTCTGAGTCTCACAGTTACACTCTTCCACAATCATGACTTTTTTAACCACTGGGACAGAACTGGTACAGTTGAGATCCAAGTGCTTCATGGAAAACTTGGTGGGCAGGCATTTAGAACAAAAGGTGTAAAGGCGATCCTCTGGACCAGGTACATGAAAGGAACTACACTTGCCAAAACATAGATTATTCTGGATGATCACCTTCTCACAGTTCTCATGAGCAATACGCTGAAACAGAAAGCAGAATGAAATTCACAATTGTAGCAGTGATACATAAATCGAAGATAGTACTGAATCTTTCTCAGAGGCTAATGTTGCATATTCTGAAGTGGCCCTGTGTCTTAGCAAACAAACTAACCCATGTATCTTAGATTGCTGATTGTAAGAGGCAGGAGAGAAGACACCTGTTCTTACCTGGGAAAAAGGCAGAGTTCTGCAGGTTTCTTGGTGCATTTCATTGGTCTTGATTGGCAGAACAACCTCTTCAGAAGCTGAATTCTTCTTTAACATGAAATGGTCCCAGAATTTTTTGGCATCTTTCCTATAGGGAGGTTCAACCTCCCTCTTACTGGAGTAGTAGGATGGAGAGAAATTTTCCACAGGAGAGATCTCTCTGGGTGCTGCCCAGGTTCTCAGATCTTGGTGTGCATAGAGTTCTGCATTAGGAAGGATGAATCTGGACATTTTTTTCTCCCCTTGCTTTTGACTGTCTCCCGCTGTCTGTGGAAATGCTATAAAAAAACTTGGCTCTTCCTGGGTTTCCTTTACACCTACTGGGTTTTCCCCCACCAACTCATGAAAACTCTGGCTTTCAAGTAGATTTCTGTCCAAATAGAAAAGGCGCTGAAGTGGCCTTCTTTTCCTCTGCTGTAAATCTGACTGTGGCTCTGTGGCTCCAAGACACAGGAGCACTAGCAGCTGAAGGTGAAGCAGTGACATGATCCTGTTAATGCTATAGACCTGCTAAGGTGGCAGAGAGCACTGCGTGCTAGCTTTATACAGGAGCCTGTTGTCTGCTTGGGTTTGTGTGCTGAGAGGAGGGGACAGCTCAGAGGAGACCCTTGTGCAGTTAATTGCATTAATTTACTGAAGATTACAATTACGATAGTGGAGTTTGTGCTAATGAAATTGTTTTCAATCTGTATAATGTGTATTAGAAGTTCCTATCTAAAATCTAGTAGCCCAGGATGGCGTGGGAGACAGAGAGAATCAACAGGAGGAAATGTTTGGATAAGCCGTCTGGCTGAGGCCTAGGAATTACAGAAGCATTTGAGGTTGTGTATTAGCATGTTCAGTGTGGTCTGCATTGTTTATTTTGACTTTCCATTCCACAAAGCTAGAGACTGTCAAAACAGGGAGGATTATTTCATCGCTACAGGAAAAGGCAAACTGACTAATGTTTTCTAAAATATGAAGCTAGATGTAGAGATGTCTATCAGCTTGTGTTTTCAAAAGCTGCTTCTAATTTTGTTCTTTAGGGTTTGGAATATGATTCAAGGCCTGCATCAGCACTGCTGCAAACTGGCAGATTTGTGCTTGCTCACCCAGAGGAACCCAGCAGAGAGCACTAAGCCTAGATTGACTTCTTCTGCAGGAGTTTGGCAGATAGTGGAGTGCAGAAATACCACCAAATCAGAATAAGTTCCTGTTTTAGAAGCAGCACTCTAGATTCTCAAAAATAACACTTTTACTCCCTGTTCAGTCGCCTCATTGCAGGCATACAGTAAAGTTGGCAAACAAAATGAGGATTTAAGTGAAATACTGTAGGAATTATTTTATTATTCTAGACTTGCATGCCTCACATATATAACAACTATCAAACCTAAACTGAAGGCCACGTTTTTATAACTTATGCTTAACATCTTGTGTGAAAAAGGAGATATGTTAGTACAGCACACTAAGGGAAGTGTTGGGAAAAAGATACTTTCGATAAACTTCTCAAACATTGTTCTCAATCCGAAAACACTAAAAAAATTCAGATAGCTTGCAATTTCAGTACTCTATTCTCTACAGATTCCATTTTCTAATGGAAAGTCAATTTCAGTAGGCTCTTTTAAGTTTGTAGCTAATTCATTCATTAATTTGAAAACTGAGCTAGTCTGTACCAGATTTATGAAATAATATGAGTGTGAGCCTATTTGTGCTTTGAACTCAGTGGAATGATTGTATTGGCTGTCAGCCACATATGTTATTGACCTGTAGCTTCTGCCCAGAGAAATTTAATTCTGCCTTGGGTTTGGTGCCTTCCTGAAATCTCAGGTGTGCCCTGGGATGCAAGATTCTTACACAGCTGTTAAAAGTGAAATTGTAGGAAATTTTGGCACTGCAGCAAGACTACCTGTGAAGCATGCCTCCAAAATGTCCTTGCATCATATCTATATAAACATGTACAGTATAAGAGAGTAAAAGCAGTGAGTCAGGAAGAACAATGAACTGTACAAATGATTGTAGATAGTTAATTAAGTAGCCTAAAATTGCAGTTTGAATCCTCACATCCTATTTTAATTGCCCAACAGGTCTAGCTGATAAAAATGACGTTTGGGTCTAAAATTCCCTGTATTTGGTACAGGTTGGTAGTAGTCCAGTATTATTCAAGGAATCACAGAATCGTAGAATGGCTTGGTTTGGAAAGGACCAAATCCCTTGCCATGGGCAGGGTTTACATTATCTTTGGACACTTTGTCTTTTTTTTCTTATCGTATTGTAGTTGCTAGAACATTACAAGACAGAGACGATACTGGAACTTGTGTATTGTATTATACTGACACAGAAGGGGTTGACATGTCTGTTAATGTCTTTAATGTTAATGTCTCTCATGGATTTTATTGTTTAAAACAATACGTATCAGTTTTTAGCTCTTTGCTTCATAATTTAGAAGTAGAAAACTCAGTAAAACAGTTTAAATATTATTGCTTCTGGATTATAGCAATATGAAAAAGCAGTTATTTCTGTTTACTCGTAAGCTGTTTTTCACTTCCTTTGCCAGAAGTGTCTTTTTACCAAATCTGATCAAGTGGTGTACCAGCTCTCTATTTGAAAAGCCCACCTGTGATCTTGATCCTGTAATGCCTGTACTAAATTTTATCTATATATGCAAAACTTCACTAAATATCTCACACATGTGTTTACAGATATGATCACAAAGTGCCCAAAGGGCCCAATTTAAAACTCCTTTTCAAAACTTCCTGAAGTTCAACTTCAAGGTAAAAGAGAGCAGACTTCTCAGTTCTTGGTGAAATTTTAACCTAATCTACCTGGAAGAAAAGGCATACATATAAGGTGTTTTTTATTATGTGGTTGAGGCATGGCATAGAGTTTCTGCCAGAAGCTTCTCTTTGTGGCATGAATATGAGTGAAATGATTTTATTACTGTAGCATATGGATGGTTCTTCCTAGCTCTTTGCAAAGAATAAACCAGGTTGCAAGCAACAAATATGATGCAAATAATATAAGGATTTTACTGCCAACAATTGGATAAAAATTAAAATGATGATACTGGAATGAGTGTTCCAGACAGGTGTATCTAAATTTAAATGGTGTGGATTACTGGTGCAGTGCAAACGTTAACAAGGAATGCATAATAACTTAGTAAGATGCATATCACAGAATCACAGAACCACAGAATCATAGGGGCTTGAAGGGACTTGTGGAGATCATTGAGTCCAACCCACTGTTAAAGCAGGTTCCCTACAGTAGGTCACACAGGAAAGCATCCAGTTGGATTTTGAGTATCTCAAGAGGAGACACTACGACCTCTGGGCGACCTGTTCCAGCGCTCTGCCACCCTCAAGGTGAAGAGGATTTTTGTCATGTTTTTATAGAACTTGCTGTGTTCCAGTTTGTACCCCTTACCACTTGTTGTGTTGCTGGGCACCATCAAAAAAGACCTGGCCCCATTCACTTGATTCCTGCCCACTAGATGTTTATAAGCATTGATAAGATTGCCTCTCAGTCTTCTGCAGGCTGAACAGCCCAGGCCTCTCAGCCTTTCCTCGTACAGAACATGCTCCAGGCTCCTACTCATCTTTGTGGCCTTGTACTGGACTCTCTTTACAAGTTACCTGTGTTTCTTGAACTGAGGAGCCCAGAACTGGGCACAGAACTCCAGATGTGGCCTCACCAGTGTAGAATAGAATGGGGGGATCACCTCCCTTGACCTGCTAGTCGTGCTTATTTTAACACACCCAAGAATTCTTGGTTGACCTTCTCACCCAAAAGGGCACACTTCTGGATTAGGAGTATATGTGTAGATGTTGCTTCTGCTGTGCTGTTCTATCCTATATCCTGCATCGTATAACAAGAAAGATGGCTCAAGAAAAATAATGCAAACAAATCACTCTGCAACCAAAAATCAGAAAATAGAGCTCTGATCTCCTCTAGGTTAAGCCAGCTCTTTAATTTTCTTCTTTACCTAATGATCTTGGAGCCAAAAGCTGTGTGCCAGCTCTAGTTCCACTAGGGTCAGTACTCCGTACCAAGCTGTAGATATTTTTCAAAGGACAAATTTGGGACAAAATGGGTCCTAATACATCAGGGTGCAGTTTGTTCTATATCTGCACAAAGACTAAAGCTGCTTTGGAGTCAGCTGTGTGCATACCCATGCATGTAGTAGGATCTGTCCTCAGCATCTGCATTCCTCCATGAGTCTGCTTGCACTATCGAAGGGCATTCCAGCTCAGAAAGCGAGTTAGGACAATCACTCTGAAGTTAAAAATAATGAGTATTTATATGTCTGTTTGTGATGACATCCACTGCATAGAATAATAACTGACAACAGTCTGAACTGGGCACATTATCATTATATCCACATACTGCTAATCTCAGATTTCTATGAAAAGCAACCCTTTTTGCATAAAGTATCCTTTATAAAAACTTGTTTTCCTGCCTGATTACCCTTTCATGTAAGCATAGGCACATGTTTTCACTGTGTTTTGGTTGCTGAAACTTGTGGCTAAATGGAGCAGTGTCTTTCAAGCAGGCTTTGATTTGTCTTCGTAGTCACATTTCATTCAGGACATTCTGCTTTCACTAGAAATAGTCACCATGAATGTTTGCCCATTTTTAAAAACACTGTCAGGCCTCTAGATGATAAGTGCCATGCAAATGCAAAGTGGCATTATTCATTTGTTTCAGAGCTGGAGTTTATTCAGTCATTATGGACATAAACTGAGTAATTAGTTGCACTGCCAGTTGATGCCTAAAAATAATTCTTAGGCAGGGTTTGAATTACTTGCCTTCTGTTGAGCTAAATAATCTCATCATAGCGTGATTGATGATTAAATCATTAAAATGGATTTTATATTTTATAGTTCAGTATCCTATCATTTTAGAAACACATTCTATGCAGACAAACTTGTATCCAGATATATCTTTTACAGAGCCCATACGAAGACCTCAGAACTAATGAATTAGCACTATGCGGTTTACTCTCCAATTATTGCACTTATCAAAGAAAGCCATCTGTGGTCTTTGTTTTACTGAATTTCAGGGAAACAGATCACATACAGGCCTCGCGGGGAAGTTACAATTATGAAACCAAAAGGCTTTTATGAGGTAAAATATGAAAGAACAGACAATAAATCTGTTTAATTTTGTACGTTCAACCTGGGTACTATACATTATGAACTTCACCTTTTCACTATTCGAAGTCCTCTGTTATGCTATTTCTTCCCTGATTTTATATCTTTCCATTCACATTTTCCATTTTCCATGCTACACAAACAGAGCTAGAATCCAAGTTTAAAACCGTCGCTACAATTTAGATGCAAAATGTTGTTTGTCTCCAGCAGAGCTGGGTTAAATTTGTTTATTTTTTATGTGCTGACTCATTCATTGCTCCATCAGAAATGGACAGTTCTAATTCTTAACCTGGAAGATTTGGGGCAGGTACCCACTTTTGAAGCACTTCCTGAATCATACCGGTACATACCTACCAAGTAATTGACAGAATACCAAATTCTAAACTCAGGTTGAGGGGCCATATTTGGCAGGTGCTTGATTGCCTTAGCTTGTCATGCCATATGACTATGAGCCAAAGGGAGAGGGGAAAATTCATTCTTCAGGAGAACATGCCTTCCTTCTTGGATTTCCAAGAATAACTTGTAAGAGCTATGGTGATTGACTTTGACAACACACACAAAAAAAATGCTTTTAGCATAAGCCAACAAAAAAGATGCATGTATGCTTTATTTTATTAGTGTAAAAATGTATGAAGACTTTTCTGAAATTTTTATCCGTATGCATGATAATAGTAGCCTTTGTTTATTCTGTTTAGATCCAGTTATTTAGAGATCATTTTTCTAGACTTCTGCTGACTTCTCAGCTCTACAAAAATAAACAAATAGTAGTTAAGCAGTAGAGATAGAGTAAATATATTTTGTTCATCAAACAAATGTGCCTGACAGACTAATTCAGGAAAACACTCATACAAAAGAAGAGACAGAATTCAGAAATATCACAAAGTAAATAGGTATATTGTGCAAGCTCATTTCTGCTATGTTCAACTCTATGTTTTTTTTTATCATTAGCTAAAGAAAGAAGAAAGCAACCCTCTGCGCAAGGAAGTAAGCTGAAGAAATGTATTTTCACCAAAATAATATGTTTCCGTTTGTATTAACATTACAAAATCAGGCCCATAACAATATATATAGCATTCTGAATACAGTCATTAGGATAGCACCAGTCTTGTGATGTAAATAAGGCAGAATCACAATACTTAGTTAATCTATTTTTATAATTTTAGAATGAGTGAAGACTTGAATGCATTCATTATGTTTAAGTGGCACAAAAGAGATCTGAAAAGCTTCACAGATTTTTTTCCAAATTAAAGCTTTATCTCTATGAAGTTGGTAATAACACACTCAAAACAGCTTGTTCCTAAGTTAATGAATCTTGGTCTCCCTGTGTTTGGCTGAATGTGGGGGACGAAGAAAGGTCTTTTCTCCAGTTGCAGGATTACTTCAGAAGGTCTCCACCGACTGCAAGATCTCAGTAGTGTAAAAGCACAAGAATTCAGATCAGAAAACATTGATTTGGAAAATGCTTCAGGGGCCAGTTGCCTAGAAATGTTTTACACAGCTGTCATCTTTGAGTTATCTTCTCTGTCAAACTTGTCTGAAGTTGGTCAATAGATAAGATGTTTAACAGAGAGAGGAGGTGGTTAAAAGAAGCAGACAAATAAGAAGCTCACATTACATCATCATTCCCTTTGTAAAAAGCCGGCCTAAAGACTAAGCTGTTGCCTCTTAATTCTGAATTCTGTTGCTTTTGAAAGGCATATGGATAGTTCCAATGAAGTAGTTCTCATGTTTATCCAGAACATCCATAGGTGAACAGCAGCATTTACATGACTTGCACCCTCTCAAAATTACCCTGCTTATGTTGATCCCCTGAATGCTCCTTTCCCCCCTGAGTTTACTCAAAGTCCAATTTGAACAGTATTGAAGACTAAAAATGTTCCCAGTAACTTTTTAGGAATTTATTCTCTTTCTCATAGAGACATCACCTTCCTAATGCAACAGGAAAAAAAAAAGTGACTTATTCGTGCTTTCCCTGTTCTGAGTTTGTTGTTTTCTTCAAACTCAGGCATTCTAATAAAAGATACAAAAATTGCTCAAAAAACATTTCATTTTTTAAGATAGGCAAATTAAAATTTATGAGTGCATGCTCAGAAGAGTTTGTTGTACTGAAAAATAATTCTGCAGCATTTCAGGTTAGAAATGTCCTTGTGGTATCATATAAAAGTTTTAGCTTAATTAATGAATACATTGTTGTAGATTTAATGAAAAAAGTAAACACATACATTTTGCAGAAGTAACAATGTGTTCCATAGTGAAGGTTTCATATTCTTCAAACACTTGAATGTTCTTTAAGAAAGGTATAATATAGAAGAACTATCCCCTCTTCAAAAACCTGAGATCTTTGATTTCTCAGTCTAGGCATTAGCCATTTATTACTTATTGGTCAAGTAACAAGAACTCTATGGCCAAAATTCCCTCTCTCTGTTATGGTCATTCATTAAATAATTAGGAGAGGTATTTAAACAATGCTCATAATTTTCACAAAGATAGCACCAGTAAACACAGCAGGAAATCCCAAAGAAATAAAAGTTTCTGGTTATCTTAACACGCTCTCTTAGTAGTTTTTCTCAGTGATTCCAGAATGCAGTCAGAGATCCCACATGTGCTTTACTGGACTCTTACTGGCAGAAGTGTCTAGAAGCTTGGCAAAAAGGTAACAACAACAACAACAAAAAAGTCCTGGAAATGTGTTAGGTTGTATCTGTTGATATTAGCATTAAGGGTGATAAGGTTCTGTCCACAGAGTTTTACATCTAAACTTGTGATGCACCTGTGCTTATTTACCATAGCAACTTCACAAAGGTCCTCACTAAATGGAAGGGTTGTCCAGCTACTGACATGCCTATTCTAACATACCATAGACAAGAAGGAGGGATAACTACAACCCCGAATGGTATCCTGCAGCTTAGAGAGGTGATTCTGCTGCATCTGTTCCCTCACCAGACTTTGTGGAACCTTAGAAAGAGCAGAGTTGGAAATGGTGCAGAAATGCAATTGGTTCAGAGGCTGGACAAATCGATGAACTTACAGAGGGCATGGACAGAATCCATTGCTGGCAGCAGGCAGGCAGACAGGAGGGCTGAGATTCCATATAGAACAGGGCAAATTCTCCATATGCTGTACCACACCACCTGTCACTCTCTCCTTCTGGGCAGAGAGAATGTTCGGGAGAAGTGGGTTTGTTTGTTTGTTTTTTAGGAAGCTTAGGACTTGTTTCTGTTTTAACTCTGAGGCTGGCAGTAAGAAGGTCCTAAAACAAGTCTTTTGACAGGTCAAAGTGTTACCAAATGGGAAGTTACAGGCAGCTGGTTGGCTTTTTTTTTTTTTCCTGTTAAATGCTGATTTTTAAGCCTTTCTCAGAAATAAATCTGGATTTTTTATTATTATTTTTTAAAAACCTCAAATCCCTGATAAGGACTGAGATAATACTTAATACTTTTGAAAATCCATAGCTTCTTTAATATAATGTGCCTATCACAGTTACACTGTGTACACACATATTAATCCTATTGATGTTCGTGTATCACTGAATATCCCATGATATTCTGGGATTAAGCTTCCATATTAATTTTGTGTGCATGTGAATTATCCTTTGAGATAGCATTAGATCTAGAGAGCCCACATTATTTAATTACATTGCACAAATGATACCACCATCCTGGAACTCCAAAAAGCATTGCATGATTTTAGTCAGAATGTCAAACAACATGCAACTGTGTGTGAGAAGATTAATTTGGATCTGAAACTGTTCTTGGAAGGCCAAAAAAGTAACAAAAAAGCTTTGCTTGTATGGTATGCTATCAGTAAACCCTTCTGCGGTTGCTCTTTTTGTAAAACACTGTAGTAGGGCATCCACAGAATAAGCACCAGTATTCTGATAGTGTCTCTCCCATCCTCACCCAAGAGAACTTGTTTATAGCCACTCAGCAGAGTCTGCTCTCGTGTTGGTCCCAAGTTGTCTTTCTTTCTCTGTGACTGCAGGACAAAACTGCAGTTTTCATTGCAATTTAATTAAACTATTTAAATTAAAGCCAATCCACATTCAGTCTTTAAGACTGAAACAAACTGACTGATGATGATGATGACTTTTCTTTTTTTTTTTTTAGTAAGTATGTTTACACAGAAATTTTATGTAGGCTGTCAGGCCTAGTTCTTTAGTGTGAAAACGTGAATGAATCAAGTGACAGAGATGTATTTGGAAAGAGATCAAAGCCTTGACCAGTAAAGTAAAGTAAACTTGCTGTTTACTACTGACCTCTATTTCTTGGTAAGAGACCAAAACATCTGGATCTCTGGCAGCGTGTAAAATAATCTTTGGTGATAATTAAGATAGTTTTCTATCTGCATATCACTTGTCTGCAGATAGACAGAAACAAAAGGAATGTCCACATGCTTTCACAGGGATCCCAATTTTTTACAGCTTTCTTGAACATATGTAGCTGTTCCATCTGGCCTTCCTGCAGTCAGTTGCTTGCCATTTTCCTCTTTTCTGCACCACTACACATTTGTTGCCTCTCTTCGGAAAGTGATTGGAGCCTCTTCTCCAGTTTATGTAGGTAACAGGTTCTCCACCGTTCCACTCCCAGTGTCCAGGATTGACTTGGTCATTCAGGCCTGTGTGAAATCAGTAAGGACAAATTAGTGGCACTCGTCATCACTGCAGCCATATGCTAACAGAAGCATGTTTTTTTTGTCCTTCTGTTTAAATGGCATACAGACTTATGCTGCAAGAAAAAATAACATCTGGAGGAATACAAGTAAAATACACTTGAATATTTGTATGGCAATTAGATTCATCTGAATACAAGAAAATATCCTTCTCCTCATTGTTGGCTGAATCTAAAATACTTCCTTTCTTTCTTTGATATCTTGCATGCTTATCATCTCGCAAATTTCTCTTTTGACGCTGAAGAAGCCAAACAAAATATCTTATAGCTTCAGACTTCATCTAGATTCCACATGAAAAAAAAATCCTTACAGATCTTTGTAAATTTTATTCACCTTTTTGAAAGCATATTAGTTAACACCTCTTAAAACATGCATTTTCACTTAGCTTCTGAGTTCTCAAGACCAAAATGGGTGGCATATTTTCAACTATGAACTGTGTTCTTAGCTACAAGAGATTACCATCAGAAATTTGACACAATGGGTTTATAGTCTTTATTCTCATCAGAGGAGTTTATTTCCATCAGATTAATAGAATCATTATACCATTAAACATGATTCCAATTGACTGCAGTTTTTGAAGTTGGTACCTTGGATTTTCTAACTAGCTTTAAAATGGAAAAGGTTTCAAGGCAAAAAGCACTTCAGCAATAGTGAACTTCAATAAACTTTTCTTCTGATACAAAAAATAAAAATAAAACAGCCAGGTAATTGATGGGTTTTCATTTTTAGTTGATCTGAAATACCAGAAGACGCAGAAATATGACGCTACATTTGAAACCTGGGCGTAAACCTTTATTGCAGTTTCTTCTTTCCAAAGTGCAGAGAAACTGTAAGGTTCTGAGGAAACAGACTTTACTGTCAGCTGATGTACTTGCCTATCCAAAAGGGCTTCCTCCCACTGAAGTCCCACAACCACTGCATGTGTTGTTCATTAGCCACACTTGTGAGGCTCCCCAGGTATCTAGGATCAAAAAGAGAGGATGAGAGTGACAGACATCTCCCATGGACTTACCAACGAGAAGCACTGATTCTAATATAAAGCACATACCTGAAATTTTACAGGAAACTCAGTACTAGAAGGAAAGAATAATTGTATTTAGTGTTACTTGTAGAAGAATTGAAGTCATGACTTATGCCCCTTTGTACAGTGGGTTCACGACTCTACTTTGTGCAAGTACACCAAGGCCTGCAGGACATCTGCATGTTAGCCCTCACACTGTGTGCAATCATGCCTGCCCTGCACCAAGAACTACGTAGTAAAATGCCCCACCAAGAGCCTCCTAAGTTCTGGCACCATCAAAGAACAAAGTGTAGAGAACCTTACTGACATTTCCTGTTCACAGCTAAACGTGTGGCGGGATGGTCTCAGAAACACAAATGGTACACTGACCAAACAGAACAGTAGTTAGAAGCATCCTGATAGGGATCAGGCATTGTGCACCCCCTCATGGAACAGGCTCCCCAGGTTCCACTGGCTGATTGCAGTGCTGTCCTGCCAGCTCCCTATAGATGCTTTGACCAGGCTTCTTGGCAAAGTTTAGCACATGCTCTCCATTCCCTTATGTCACAAGAGTGGCATGTTTCCACTTCTCTAAGCCCAACCACCATGTCCATCTAGCAAGTTTCCAGTGAAAAAGGAACTAAACAGTTATTTTGGCAGATGATCTTGGAATGTTTTGACTTCTTCTTCCCCTCAAAAAATATCCAGGAAAGCAGAGCAGTTTACTCAGGGCGTGCTCCCAGGATAACTGGTTCAGTAGCAGAATACCACTCCCCTTTGCAGTGGCCGTTGACTACCAGTTGCTGAAGCTGGGGCTGAGGATGAATTTTCCTAGCAGCCTCTGTGGCATTGCCATTAACTAAGCGAGAACAATAGAGCATTTTATCTGTCTGCTACTTAAGAACAATCAAAGCACCAGAACTTAAGTCATTTGCTTTAGATAAGTGTTGTTTATTCCTGTAGTTCCAATTGCTTTAGGAAAACTAAAAACAAACAAAAAGTGTCAACTTGTATCACTGACTGTATGTAATATTTTATATACAGAGGTGGTTTGAGCAATAACAGTTTCAGACTTTTACTTCATGTACCACAGAGACTTCAGCATTGTGAAAGCATTGCAATAATTATAATGTTATCTAATCTTTTCTCCATAGGAGTGCTTTCTAAATACAGTCTGAGAAACACACGGCTGAAGGGAGAACAACCATTCTAATTGTTACACCTAGTCAGGGGTTTTGCTGTATTGTAGGGAAATGAAAGCAGTTCTGAAGTACCACTTAGGATAATTTTACTAACCTGTACCTTTAGAGATTCAGACAAGGGAAATGACAAGATAATCACAGCATCACAGAACTGTAGGGGCTGGAAGGGACCTCTAGAGATCATCAAGTCCAGCAACTTTCTGCAGGCTGCTCAGGTAGGCATCCAGGTGGATCTTGAATATCTCCATAGAAGGAGAATCCACAACCTCCCTGGGCAGCCTGTTCCAGTGCACCATCACCCTCACTGCGAAGTTCTTTGCAATATTGGTAAAGAACTTCCTGTGCTCCAGTTTATAGTCATTCCTCCTTGACCTGTCCTCACAGACTGCTGAAATGAGGTTGGCCATGTCCCTTTGACTCCCACACTTAAGAGACTTATAAACATTAATCAGATAATGTTATTTATGGAGTTGTATACATCTACCATCTTCATAATATGAATTACTCCAGAGAGGATATCATACTGCTTCATAAATTTTTTAAAAAAAGAAAAAAAAAAGAAAAAAAAATCAACAAGCAAAACCAAATCACACCAGTGATTCCTGTGCTAAGTCAGTTAGTTACTATTAGTAAATTAGTTAGCTATTAGTTTAGTAAATTAGTTAGTTATTATTAGTAAATTATTCCTTTGTGCTTCAAAAGTTATATGCAAAACACTTAGCATGAAGACTTTCCTGATTTTACATGAAATTAAGCAGCACACTTAAAGCAGCTTTGTACCACTCTGATAAATTGAACTTCTGCAAAAGCACGCTCAACTAGTTGTGAAGATCTTCACAGCCTGGAGGACACCTGATACAAACTGCTTCAGTAAATTCACATCCCAAACTGACAGTGAAGGAAGGGGGAAGTGTCTGAAAGTCTCTGCTCTCATTAACCCAGGCTTTTGTTTGACTGCCTGGGGAGTAATCCTGGTGCCTTGAAATAGCTGCCTAGTGTTGCTTCTGACACCTCTTGGTATTCAAAACATTCAGTTGAGATTGGTAGACATGCTGTAGAGCTTACAGCAGCCCTACATTTTTGGAGTGGCTTTTGAAGGTCAGACAAGACACCCTCAGCCTTTAAAATGACTTTAGATATCTGAGTCATCAGCACTAACATAGGTTACATCACTTGGAGGACTAAGCACTGCGTTAGCAGAGAGCAACAGGGTCCATCCTGCTTTGCATCATGCAGTGCTGAGTTGTCATGAAGGATCTAACCATTGTGGTAGTATGGCTCTTCCTTCCTTCCACAGAGAACAAAAGAACAGCTCCTTCCTTAGTAAGCTGTTTATAAAGGATCAAAAATTGGATCATACTTAGATTCTCAGTAAATATTTAACTTCAGGAAGATGAAGGCATGATTTGACTAATCAGGCAGAACAAGCAACAATGGATTCTGTCTCTCCAGTGAAGAGTCCCCTCAGTGGCAGCAGTGAAACTGTCTCCTGTCAGTGAGTCCTGCTGCCCTGATGCCTGTAGAAACAGTGTTCCTGTAGTATAAACAAGAACTGCTGCATAAATGACCAAAATGGCTACTGAATCAGGCTGCTTTGTGATCACTGAGCCATAATATCCCTCAGATGCTTCTCTGCACATTGCCAAGTCTCTTCATCCATAAGAAACAAAACTAGAGGAATGAATTTGCTTTTCTCTCTAATGTATTGCAGGAGGTTTTGAAATGATGTAAGGTTTTCAGAGCAGTGAGCTGAGTTGTTTTCAATTTCACTGTCACCATGGCACACAGCAACTTGAGTGAAGACAAGCACATCTTTCTGTTGTCTTTTACCTTTGCACATGGAAACCAAAGACTGGTATGCCTCTTGTAACAAATGGATGCAAAGCTCAGTGATGCAAAATGCAGCAAAAGAAGCCCAAACAGGTCTGCATAAGCCATGTGCATACACAGTTACATCCAGACAGTAATTGAGAACAAAATAAATCAATAACATTGCTTTCACTGAATAGTTTGGTCTCAAGTCCATCAACTTGGGATGAGAGCGTTTTCTTTAAAAGAACAAATGGCTGACTGATTAGTTGCAGACTGTTATAGCTTTAACATTGTGTTTTTCTCCTGTTTTATATACTATCAGAAGTTTAGCAACAAAATTGAATAAGAATTGAAAATAACATATTTTTTGTTTAAATAAGAATTATTCATTTTCAGTGAAAAGTAGCTGATATTCTGACTGTCAGTTCTTTTTTATTATTATTATTTTTTGATTCAGTACCTAATGTTTGTATGATATACTAAAAACAGAGGAATGACAATCATGCCGATCTCATTTTCTTGTTGGAAAACACCAGTCATTTAAATGTCAACAGTGGAAATATTAGGAATATTAACTACAGAAATTACCAGAACTGAGAGGGGTGGATGATGAGGGTTCAGAGAGGAGAGCAAAAGCACAAAATAAGTATTCAGTTATCTTCTAGCAACACTTTTAAGTGTGTGCCTGGGGTCACACTTTTGTAAATCAGTTCCAGGTGGAGGTCAGGAGTATTTCATTTACCATGATAAAACTTCCCCAGTCTGTGGTAATCTGACATTAATTAAATTGTCACTGCCCTAGGATTCATTTGCTTGGGGATTGTGATATGCCTTGACTCTTTGTGTGGCTTTTTCACACTGCCACTAACTTACTGTCACTGAGTTTAACTTCCGTATTACACACTGTAGCCTTCAGCACAAAGTTATCTCCTACAAACAGTATGTGTCCTCAGGAACACACTCTTTTAGGAAATGGAAATGCCTCCCAGCGATTAAAATGATTAATTCACTGTGAATTCCCCAGGAAGCAACTGAACGTTGAATCTTTCAGAAAAAAAAATCAGAACATCCACAACTGACAACTTTTTACTTGGATAAATTGAATCGTTAGGTAAAATAATCAACAGTGTGAAATGTGTGTTGAGTTTTCATGAAGAGTATCTTGCATCACCTAGAAGGTCAAGTTTCCATTTGCCCACTACCAAAACAGAATAAGCTAATGTAACTGTCTAGAATGAATCAAGGTTTGTTATGCCTGCTGGTCCATGTTTCATATTCCCTGCATGCTCCTTAGCTGCTTACTGAATATATTCTGTTTCTTTCTTGTCCAACCTGTGTTTCAATTTTCATTTCACAGAGCAATGGAAATGGACTATCAAACTCCCTTGTTTTGTTCAATCTGGCGCTCAGAATTTGACACAGTATCCAGAACATACATAATCCCAGGGTAAGGTAATGTTGCCATGGCTAGCATTTCTTTCAATCCTAAACTCTGAAGACCAAAACCATAAAGCAGGCCTCCAAAGATCAAGACTAGCTTAAATGGTGGATTTTATACTTGCCTCCTTCTTTGAGATAACTATTATTATTATTAATTAGTTTTCTTTTATCCTTAGAAGTAAGAAATTTTCTGGAAGATAAGACTGGATGTTGAGATTTTTGAGTAGTTACAGATTCTGAGAAGCTGCATCTTAAGAAGACTGTTATGAGGAACGCAGGAGCTGGCAAACTGTGCTGTTGTTTTAATCTATTGAAGGCATAGCAAAGGAAGTACTGAATCAGAGAAGGCTGAAGAACTGAATTTTTGCTACATTTTTCTTCTTCCAAATTAAGCCACATCTCCCAGTGGGAAACAGCCATGAATTAATATAGTGAATAAGGTAGGATAACCAAGGAAAACGTAGTGAGACTAATAATAATATTTCCGTTTTCCACAGGGCCATAATGCTAGGCTTGTTCAATCATTTTGGTGCTGTGAAGCATAATAGAAGTGGGACTTAGCCAAATCACCACAACCTTAGGAACAGCAGCCATTTCAGGAAAACAACCAGTGCACAACAAATGTGTTTGAAAAAAGTCTCTTACTGTTCTCTGCAGACCTGAGCAGCAGTATCCCAGGTGACCTTTTGATTCACTACCAGGAAATAACAGCTGCCATCATGATGACGCCATCCAGAGGGACATTTTTTCATGTCTGCCTCCTACAATGAAAGATGAAAAGGAAAAACAACTCTTGCTCACACTAGTCAGCTCTACACATTAATAATCATGCTGGAGGCTGGAGGTGCTGCTTATGGCCTCTGCAGGATCTAACTGAACATGGACATTGACGTATGTCAGCAGAGCTAAAATATCATTTAAAAGACATAAAGAACTACATACCTACTAGAGGATCCTACTATTTGTAATTAGTAGCTTAAAACCAACATAGTCTCAGATCTAGAAACCTTCTCAGAGTGTAAATTACTTTGGATAATTTTTCTGGCTCCTGTGGTTTGTGTAGGGAATGCAGTGTCGCATGGTTCAGTCTGAGACTGTAAGTGGTGAATGAAGATCCATGCTTATAGAATGCCTAAGTTTTCTGGTTTTATTAAATCACATCAATTACGTCCAGACTTCATTCACTGGTTCTCTCATACTTATTCCCAGAAGTGTGTGTTTGTGCCCACATGGCTGGTCCAGAACCACCCACGGGTGACAGATGAAAGGTAATCCTAGCAATAAAGCCCTCATCTTGTCTCTGGGAATCATCTCTTCTGGTGACAGCAGACCTGGCTCCGGACAATTCTTTCATCTCCTGTGCAAATCAATTATTGTTACAGGGTGATCCATAACTTCAGAGTCTTGCTTATTGTAGATTCCATATTCTGATTTAGATGCATACTCATGACATTTTTACCTTGCTTTGGGAACTCCAAAATTTCCATTCTATCCCATCACACTGAAATAACTTTTGAATGCTTCCTTCATAATGCATGAGCCCCTTCAAATCTGGTGTACAGGCCCTTGAAAAGGAGTGAATGTCCTGGAAAAGGGAATAGCATATGAACATTCAAAAGAAAATACTTACACAAAACAAGCTACATGAAACTAGTGAGACAGCTCATTTTAAAACTTAGTGACATGAAAACTCTTAAGGGACTGCACTGTTATTTATCTGTGTATTGTTTAAACTTTGTTTTGGAACAAGAAGAGTCAGGCTTCAGATCTCAGAGGCGTTAACTCATTTTGGGAAAGAGCATGACTGAAAACAGATGGTAAAAATGTCTGTGGAAACAAAAGGTTTCATACCCGATGTCTTGAGCTTGGTTCAGATGCCAGTTCTGCCTTATCAGCTTGTGGGATTTCTGTCTTCCTAGTGGAAATGGCATTTATCTGTGATTGTGCTTGGTTAATTACTGACACTTCAGCCTTCTTGTTTGCTTTAGCTGATGAGATGTCATCCTCTGTTTTGAGTGATACCATCCCATGGTACTTGGTTTCACAGTATCAGACACAAGCAAAACAGGAGAGGTAAAAGAGAGAGTTAGCACTTACAAGCAACTTTTGAATACTGCCTTCTCCTCCTGCCTGCAACCAATCCAATTGTTGTAAATCAAATTATACCAAGGAAAAAGAAAGATACATAGAAAAAGAAAGTACTGGTCTACATAAAGCCAGTAAATAACAGAATCACAAATAAATCATAGCAATATTCATTATACTCTTACTTTGTAAACCACATCTGTTCCATTTCTAAATACAGATGAAGGATGAACCTGAAAAAAGGGTAGAATATAAGAATGAAATGAGTGTATTTATGCATAAAAGAAACAAACAAACAAAAAAAAACAACATGTGAGATTTACTGTGTAGTGTAGGTTACAAATCACACACAGCATATCTTGGGCTGAGTTCTGAAAAAGGAAATCGATGGCTTCTGAAAACAGCTCACATTAAATGTGTACTATAATCCAGATTAATTTTTAAGATCACAGTACCTGAATGTGACTAAACCACCTAGTTAAACCAACTTTGCTTAAACAGGAAAACTCAATGGGCAGTAACTATATCCTGCTTAAGATGACAATATTTTCATCTTTACAACTTCAAGACCAGACTTACATTGGCTTGACTCTGGTGATTCCAGTGAAACTCTGTGTCTTTCTTGTAACTGACCTACAATTTAGACAAGATCAGAACCTACATAATTACTGGTGTTGCTTGTTGCATGTTTCCTTGAGCAACTCTTTTTTCATTCCTCCCTTTTATATACATAGATCTTCAAATTCAGGAAACATTCCTATGCCCTTCCAGCCCTCCCTAAAGAATATTAAATAATTCTACAGCTCCTAGGCCAGACTCAAAGCAAACTGGTTGTTTATAGTTACTGCACAGTCACTGCAAAAACAGAACAAATATAAATGAAGACAGCAAATACCAATTAATTCAAAAATCAGCTAAATCACACAGACGTTCTTACTATTCTGCCATTTCCAGTCACTCTCAGCCTGGCCCTTGACCGATTTGCCAAGCTGGGCTCCTGCAGTATGTCACCTCTGTGTTCTCTCATCCTTTTGGAAGGAGGTGGTGGGATCCCTTCCAAGTTAACGCTGCCAGGCCTGGGAGGTGATGAGGAGCCTGAGGAAACTGCAAACAGTGTGCTTCTCCTCCAGAAGTCTTGCTTGCTTTGGCTGGAAGAATGTAAAGAACTGCATTGACCTGAAAGCATTAAAAATGGCAGGTGGTCAGTTCCAGCTGCATGAGCAGATAACTGGTCACATTGACATGGCCACATAAACAGCTCGTCATTAAAAGCTGGAAGATTCTTTCACTTGATGTGGTTGGTTTTCTGTTTGTTTGGTCATCCTTTTTTATGGAGTTTCTTTAATTAAAATTGCCTATGACTGCAACAATCAAAACAAACAAACAAAAGTGTATGCACTGTGTCTATCTAACCAGAGGTCAGAATCCCTACCAAACATAGCAGTTTCCAGGTATAAATTAGGGTTTGAAGTGCCCAGTTTTTGGGCAAGGATGGGTATCTTTAACTAAGATTAGTGGTATTCCCATCATGACTAGCCAGTTTCCTATCCAGAAACTCAGACATTGTTGCTCCTTCGATCTAACTGAGTCAATGAATATCTTTACATTATGAGAAAAACTAAATCTGCATTTTTAAAAGGATTTTTTTTTTAATCAAGCCTCAATCATTATAACACATTCATTTAAAATATAGCTTCAGTAAGCTGCTTTGCTGAGTCATTTGTATGTTTCTGCTGCTTTCTGGTGAGCTTTTAGGCACCACATTTACTTACTGAAAAACACAATAATAGTAAGGAAACAAAGGCTTGAACTCTGTAGTAATCACTGCTGTGTACTGTAATGTTGTAGATTGTGATTGTTAGGCATTAGAAAATGTACTTCTGAGAGCTGAGTGTAGTTGTTAAGATTCTTTTTTGAGAGGAAAGTCAATCTTTTTCAGAAGCGTGTGACTAGTGTTATACAATCACTGGGGGAAAAAAGCCAATTCTAATGGAGTCAAAAATCCTTTTTTCACTTCAATAAATGAGAGCTGGACTCATGTTGTTATGAAAAGTGGCTTGTTTCCCCTCCACTCTTCTCATTTTGTACTTGTTGCTTTCCCCATGCTGTGTTTCCTAAGAGGACGGATGTGATTGTGTGAGGGAATAAATGGTCTGCAACTGCCAGGCTTGTTTTCTCTAAAAAGAAAGTAAGCATTTTGAAGTGAAGGTAAGTGTTAGGAACAACTTGTGGTTGAAAATAAGTAGCTACCTAGCCAAGACTGTCCCACATTTAAAGACGAAGATCAAAAGAGAATACCTCCTTTTGAGTCCAAAATTTTCACTACAGCTTTTGTCTTGGTGCCAAGAACAGCATTCACAGAGGAGTTCAGAATTACTTCAAAGACTTCATCATCTTCCTCTAATCTGTCATAAGTAATTGCTATATTCCACATCTTGGTTGACATTCCTAACAGAAATAAACATTTTAATTACTCTTTAATTGCTGTTTCAATCAATCAGAGTGTCAGAAATATATTAATTAACATGTCTGCAGCTAGAATGAAGTAGCTTGTGTATGCTATTGTTCTGCTACCAACTGACTGGACTCCTGCTGTTCTTCTAAATAACTTAAGGTTCAAATTTGTTCCCAAACAATGTTGATTCAGTTTGAGAGCATATACTGTAACAAAAAAGCTGCTTCAAACATGAGAAATGACACTACAATATATAAATTTTGGACTTCTGGAATTTTCAAGATAAAATGTAGCATATATATGTGCTGAAAACTTCATCTAATATACCTGCAAAAGGATAAAAGAATTGCACAGGCTTGAAGTACAGCCTTTCAGAAGACATATTTTATACCTGTTTACAAAATTTTGACTCAGTTGACTGTCTTTACTTGAGGTAACTTGAGACTTGGGTTAGTGGGAAAGAGAAAAGATCATTCCAACATAAAGGATTAGGCTGGTTATTACAAAGAAAGCTTTGAAATTTGTTTGGAAAAAGTCAGAGGTAGTGCAACAGAAACTGATCTAAATATACACACTGCTATCATAAAAACATCACAGAAAATGTTTCTAAAAACCCAACGCTGACATCCAGAATTAATCACAGAATCACAGAATTGTAGGGGTTGGAGAGATTATCGAGACCAACCCTCCTGACAAAGCAGGTTCCCTACAGCAGGTCGCACAGGTAGGCATCCAGGCAGCTCTTGAACATCTCCAGAGAAGGAGACTCCACCACCTCCCTGGGCAGCCTGTTCCAGTGCTCCGTCACCTCACTGTAAAGAAGTTCTTGCGCACATTGGTGCAGAACTTCCTATGCTGCAGTTTCCAGCCGTTTCCCCTTGTCCTGTCTCCACTCACCACTGAAAAGAGCCTGGCCTCGCCATCCTGCCCCCCACACCTTAGATATTTATAGACCTGGATCAGGTCCCCTCTCAGTCTCCTTTTCTCAAGGCTGAACAGACCCAGTTCACTCAGCCTTTCCTCATAGCAGAGATGCTCCAGGCCCTTCACCATCTTTGTGGCCTCCGCTGGACTCTTTCCAAGAGATCCCTGTCCTTTTTGTACTGGGAGCCCAGAACTGGACGCAGTACTTCAGATGAGGCCTCACCAGGGCAGAGTAGAGGGGGAGGATCACCTCCTTCGACCTGCTGGCCACGCTCTTTTTAATGCACCCCAGGATGCCATTGGCCTTTTTGGCCACAAGGGCACACTGCTGGCTCATGGCCAACCTGTCGTCCACCAGGACAGCCAGGTCCCTTTCCGCAGAGCTCCTGTCCAGCAGGTCATCCCCCAACCTGCACTGGTGCATGCAATTATTTCTCCCCAGATGCAAGACTCTACACTGTTTTATGTTTTTATTAAACCCCATCCGTTTTTTTTTTTTGCCCAGCTCTCCAGCCTGTCCAAGTCTTGCTGAATGGCAACACAGCCTTCAGGCGTGTCAGCCAATCCTCCCAACTTCGTATCATCAGCAAACTTGCTGAGGGTGGCCACTATCCCCTCATCAAGGTCACTGATGAAGATGTTGAACAAGACCGGACCCAGCACCGACCCCTGAGGAACACCGCTGGTTACAGGTCTCCAACCGGACTCTGCACCACCAACAACGACCCTCTGCGCTCTGCCAGTCAGCCAGTTCTCAACCCACTGAGAGAACCCTAGTCTATGCCTTGCACAATGTCTTCCAAAAATTCAGGCTTGCATGTGCAAGTGGAATTATTATGATAACAAATGGGCTCTCATTACTAGATAATCTATTTAGATGGGCAAAAGCAATTTTTTCAGATGAAACTGAATCTCCGAATGCTGAATCCTGCAACTCTCTCCCAGATTATTTTTTTGCCTAGAGACACCTACAGTGTGACAGTAAGGGGACCTACTGCACTTCCAGAAAATGAGCTGGGGCATTTTTATTCCTACTCAGTTCCTCTATCTATGAACACAGAACATGTTTCACTCTCCAAAATGAGAGTTTACACTTTCAAAATCAGGGAATACATTTTAAAATGAGTCAGTGCTCTTGTTCATACCTGGATCAAACTGAATAAGTTTGGAGGGAGTCACTGTAAAGTCCTTTCCCAGCACAGCAGATATTTCATTGACCTGCAAAGAAATTAAGCAATACAGGGCAAGCTGTGACCTATGTCACCAAACCAGTGATTCTGCTCTACGGTGAAGGTACTTTTCTCTTCATGGGGTCCCAGTGAGACATGCCAAGCTGTACCTGTGCTTAGGCTGAAAAACAAGATGAAAGCTTACAGGATAACCTTGTGATATGCAACTGTCATTTTATCCTCACTTACGGTTTAAAACTTGCCATTAAAAAACAAAAACAAAAACCATTCACTCATCTCAAAATCTTGCATCAGATTGCAGCTGGACAGCATCAGATCATGCTGCTGATCACTAATCCTGGGAACCCAATTTTGGGAAGGACACATAATGGCTTCCTGGAAGGGCAGCATCAGCCAGGATGTGTTTGCCCATTCTGCCCTTTGAGAGGCCTTGGAAGAAGAATTTGCACAGAGATCTGCCTGCCTGCCAGACCAACAGACTCTTTGGGATACATGAGAATGTATCCATGCACAGGGACACCAGTGCCCCTGAATTTGCTGGAGTCTGCGAAGAATAAGGCAGAATGGCCCCTGCTGAAGTCATAGCATAACTCTCACAGACTTCTGAGGGAGAAAAGACAGAACTGTATTTCCAATTAGGGTTACAATGTAACTGTAAAGGAACTTGTTAGTATTTTGCTAGCAAGGTCTGCTAGAAAATCTTGGGACTTCCGTACTAGGAGGAAAAATAAAAGGGGAGCTTGTGATGTCAAATTGCACAAAACCTATTTTACAAAAATAAAAATATACAGCTTTCAATTTATTTCTTCTGACATGCAACACAGCCTGTTACTGAAGGTATGGGAGTTCGTTGGGCAGAGAGTTATGAGGAGATGGAGACTGGTTTACTGTGACGTTGAAGCTGTAATAGCTGCTGGGCTCCTTAGCCTGGGAAGAGGAAGAGATCCCAGGTCCCCCAGTCAGGGATTGCCCAGAGCATCAGGTCACGGATATACCCAGCCTGGCCACACCATGAGACCACTTGCTCTGTCACAGAAGCTCATCAAAACTACAACACCACTCCAAAACATTCCAGTTTGGGCTTACCGGCATTTCTTCTCAAAACTATTCTGGCAGAAAGTTTTCAGCTGTGTGTACAGGGCTGGGTAAAGTCCCAGTGAGTCTGGATTGAATTGCATGGCTTTTTTACTAACTAATGAAATATCAGCTCCGAAGAAGAAACTAATGGGCTCCACTGCCTGTTATTCAATTTTCAGTTAAAAACTTGTTGTTTCATCTTTACCTTCACCACAATAAAGGCAGAGTCAGTAGAGTGCCCTGCCCTGGTGATTTTCAGAGACACCATCCCCATGTTCTCACACACTTCATATTCAGTCTGCTGCATTTCAATGCGAGACCAGCGTAGTTCCAGCCTGCAAGCACAGAAAACAAAGCCCATGTAGAACAAAGCCATCAGCCCTGCTGCCCCAGCCCTGCTGCCTGAAGGGTCTGTAAGGTGGCCTCTTGACTGTTGGACTAACCAATACACATATTAAGTCTTTGCTTCCTGGTCAATGTATTTGTGCGTGACTTGGCAGATTAGAAAGTGAGAAGCAGTAAATAAATCCCCCACTTGAGCCCTTACATACTCCAAGCAAAGACTGAACATTGATTCAGAATGAAAGAGGTTCTGTAGCAAGTTCGAAAAGAGTGGAGTTTGTCTGTAGCATTGAACAGGCCAAGGCAGGTTCTCTTCACCTGTGTAAGTTGTTTTTATTGTCTCTCCTCAGTATTTTCTCAGCAATATCCTCATTTCCTCCCTCCTTTCTTCATCTCTAACTTGCCTCCTCTACTGAATAGGCGCACCCCAGCACTTACTGTCTTTGCATATGCTTGCCCCTAACCCTTCCTTTAATAATGCCTATGCTTTTGTCTTCAGCCATAGAGTAAAAATTTCTCATAACAAATTTAGAATGGCCTATAGAGAATATGACTGAACCTCAGAGAACCATACGCTGAACCAATAAAGAGATCAACTTTTGAAAAGCGGAAGGAAGGAAAATGAACCCTTGTACTTGCAAATCAACCTGAACTTTTCTAAAACACATGTCTAACCATACATGTCCAACCTGTGGGCTGCATGTGGCCCTGGACAGATAATAATGCAGCCCCACATGATTGTGAACTTTTAATATTGTTATGTGATTTTTAGCAATATTTTTGCTCGTAGCTCAAGCATTGACTGTGTAGGCGACAACAAAATGCACTGGAGTTGAGGGTGCAGTTGCAGTGCTGACTGCCTTTTGCACCCACCACAGTCAGATCAAAACCAACATGTATTACACATCTATATGCACTTGTGACACTTGGCAAGTAAAACACAATGATTACCAATAGTATTTCAACATACCAAGCTGTGTGTGTCTTTGAAGATATGTAGTTTTCATTATTAAGCAGATGTAATTTTTCTCATTTAACTACTGAACTTGTGCTGCTGATAGTTTATCAAATTATTTAATAAGTTAACATGTTCACTAGTTTCAGGAAAACAAGGTCAAATATCTCACTAGTGTTACGGTTTTGTTGCCCTCTTTTGTAAGTTTTAATAATAATAAAAAAAGGCTTTGTTACTTATGTAGATTAATGACATTATGTGTTTTATATACAGTCCAAGTCAACTCTTTTTCATTCATTGCAGACCAGGAAAGCCATAAGGTAGAACAGTAATAGCCTAGACCTTTCTGGGTTGAACAGCTCTAGCACCACTAGAGATTTCTTCCTGTCCTCCCATATCCTCTGAACTTCAAAGGGTAAACAGCTTATACAGAGGCTGATTTGCTTTTTTTCTAAAGAGCATGTATGAGCTGAAAGCAGTCCTGCAGCATTAAGATAAAAGGTGGCTTTCCATTATAATAATATCATTAGAAGTTCAGAATAATCAAAATTTATGCCCTTAAAAGCCAAATTTCTCTTTGTTCTGAGATCCAGCACACTTCACATATAAGTTCCAGTTCTCTGAAAATCCTATTTCCCACAGGAATAGTGGATTTTTTCTCTCTTCCTAAAAAAAGAATATATATATATGTGTGTGTGTGTGTGTGTGTGTGTGTACAATAAGTGCTACTACTTCTATTCAAGAACCCATAATTTCCCACGAATAGGGCTGCATGTTAGTAATGCATTTAATATCAGTGCTTCTGTAAGCAAGCACAGGGCAGCCAGAGAATGCTCTGGTTAGTTTTGTTCAGATGTGTTTGTATACAGGGACATCTCTTGGCACACTGTGTAACTGCGGAAACACTGTCTCCCGCTGTTCTGTCTGCATCCTCTCTGTCACTCAAGCAAGAGCTCTGCAGAGCAGCTTGGAGCTTGAAGCCAGCTTTCTGCTTCTTCCCTTTTAAATAACATTGGTTCTTTTTCCCAGCTACTTCAGATTAAATAAATTGATTGAAAATTCAATCCTATATATAGAAATAAAAGAAACATTGTCTCCTCAGAAAAGCTTTATCCCATTTTTGGTCTTTAGCATCAAGTACTCTGCAATTTTTGTACATTAAGCTTATCATGTGTCAGAAGAAAATTCTGATTGCATGCTTAGTTGAAATTTTGGAATTACATGACAAAGAGATTAATATACTCCCTCCACCTTTCCTCAGAGCTCTTTTGAAAAATATGATTCTATTAGATTTTACTGCTGGCATAATGATGATGCTTGCACCATCAAGATCTCAGACCTGTGAGAATCAACCTGCTGTCAGCACAGGAGAAGAGTGACTTACAGCTGCAAAATCAGCTGTAAGAAGCAGCAGACCTGTCCCTAAGCTACTGTCTTATATCTCCAAATGCTATGGGTCTAAATCACTTACAGTAAATTCCATTATACGAGACTCTGAGACTCTAAATGTGCTCTAGTCAAAATAACCTTTTTTACTTTGCCACCTTGAGGGGAATAGACTTCTGTATTCTTTAAAAAAAGAAATGGTAGTTTAAGTTCTTAAAATTATATCTAGGTTCACTTCTACTTAGCTTCAAGGAGGCATAGATTCATTTGCTCTAAGCCACAAGCCACCCTCAACAGTGATGTATTTGCTACACTGCAGTTGTCAAAACTGCAGATCAAAGTTACATTTGGGGAATTGCTGAATTTCCATTGGTATCTGTGACTTGAAACTCCAAGTTGTCTGAATGCACTTCCCACAGTGGATTGATGACATAAAATATAATTTTACTATTTAAATCCTTTTGGCTAAAGCCTTCATGGATAAGTCCACCTGAGAAAGAAAAGAAAAATTAAGATAAGTCAAAAGCCCATTACGCAAGAACCACTTAGCTCACTTGCATCATCTGTTTTCAACTTTTTGTTTTGCAAAACACTTTTAAGAGACTTTGAACTTCCCATGATCTGTTTATATGGCTACACAGTAACATCCCAGTTCGTTATAAGCCCCAGCCAATTAGTTCCTCTGTTTATCAAGTGACCTAGTTCACCTATTTCTTTTTCATAAAGTTCAGAGTACAATTGTTTTATTCTAGCTTTACTACTTCCTGCAACAGTCTTTCAGGTTTCCTTTCCCACAAGTAGATTCCCACTTGCAGTTACTAACAGTCTTCTGGAACTCTGGAGGTATTAATGATGAACATGAGACTCAAGTCTTAGTTCAAAAGTTTTTCTGTTGCATTCAAAACTACTCCAACATTTGCCAAGAAATTTTGATTTCCTGTATCAAGCAAGCATTAACACGATGGTTTTGAAATCTGGTCTGGTATGTCTCAAAGGACAAAGATTATAGAATACAGTACCTGTTGTTATATTTTCCAGGTAACCATAACGAGGACCTCGTAAGATCTTAAAAAATATTTTGTCATCCTCTGTATTGGAGTCAGTTGCCTTCAGGGACCTGGAAGTAATGTAGATCCCATAATTGCCATTCTTCAGCATTTCCACATCAGATAAGCAACGGAGATGAATGATTCTTGGTGCCATTTTGTCCAAATGATCTACCTAAATCAAAATTAGACAAATGTATATTCATTTTACAGTATCAGAACATTCTCTGTCTGTACTACTTCTGCTAAAAGCACAATAGCCCACTTAGGAGAGCAGTAGTCACTTTGACAAGCAGTCTGTTCCAGTAGAAATCTGATATACAGTTAAGCATTAGTTCCCATGAGAGGTTTCCAGGCTCAGTTTGGACAGCCAATTGTTTCATGCAATGAGAGACAGAACATACTTGGGAGATAAACACAAATACCATATATCTCTGTCTTGTTGTCTCCCACATTCCTCATAATCCTTCTCCATTTTCTTCATCACAAATTTAAGCTCCATCAGTTTATTTGTTACCATAGTTGGACTCAGTTTTGGTATTGGAATGTTGATATAGAATATTATAGCAAATTTAAGCAGGATGTCTTTCTTTTCTTAAATATAATCCCTTTCTTTGCATTTATATAAGCGTAGTTATGTATTTTTTCTGAGCGATGTAATGTAGTAATTCTTTAGTTCTCCAGGTTATTGATTCACTGAACACAGAAAGAAACCTTTCTAGCTTAAAAATATCATTATTAATTCCAAGACTTCAGCAAAAAGCAATTCTTAGTCAACAGCATTGCATTTTCCACCATATTTATATATCTCTTTTAATTAAGACTGTGGTCACACTTGCCTGAATGATGAATGCCACTGGCTCAATCTGCACCCTCCCATTCACGATGAAGCCTTGATTAGTCCTATCTGTTGCAACAAATGTAAATCTGTCAATCTGGGAATCCCCACCTCGGTGCTTGTATGCAATATCCATATTGTCCACATCACACTGGGTGAAATTGTATTGTAGCAGTACAGCCCCTCGGTAATAGAGATGACCATACTGGGGGAGCTGAGCCAAGAGGAAGGTAAGGTTTTCTTTGGCAGTGTCAGAGTCTGTAAGCTGCAGGACATCAGGAGAAAGGAGTACCATATTGCCTTCCGTTAATCTTAACCCCATGTTCCTAGATAGTGTAGGCAAAGTTTGGTCAACTGCCTCCAGGGAGATCGTGAATGTTCCATGCTTAGTCCTCAGTCCATTGCTGATGATGAATCTGGCAAAGAGAGGCAAGGTAGTCTTCAGCATGTGTTCTTGATTCACCAAGTACTGAAATAAAATGATAATGCAAACCTTTATTACAGGGCTTGCCTGTGGTGATACTGAAAACATGAGAACTAGAGCTGATTTGAGCTCAAACTCTGACCATGGGATGGATGTATAACTTAGAAGCATGAGAACAGATGGGCAGGTATACAGAAATAATTACACTGCATCTGCAGGAATCTGGTGTGATGCCAGAGGAATGGCTTTGAGGATACACCATCAGTCTTCAAAGTCCTCTAATCTTCTATTTCAGATACAAACGGAGCAGATCTGAAATTATGGGCTGGCTGAGGACATAGATGCACATTTTATACATATCCTTACGTATCTTCAGTGAAAGTGCTAGCTTTATCTACAGCTCACAGAAAGAGATGTGTAAAGTACATGATCTACCTGGACAATGGGTTTGTTCTATTCACTGCTGCACGCTTGTCATACCCAGTAATCCCAAACTACTTTAAAAAGAAGAAAAATTGGAAAAGAAAATAGAAATCCATTCTTATCTTGCTTCTCATAGTAGTTTAAGCACTAATTATACTTATAAATTTCTGCATATTCAGAAGAACTAACATTTCTTTACAAAACTTAAGTGAAATTTCACTGAAATAGTAAGATTGTGTGGAATATATTGGGCAGAACTGTACAAGTAGCTAGATTAATTTTTAAAATGTAGCTGTCCATACCACACAGTCAGATCTGCAGTTATTATCCCATGCTGGCAATTTGTATTAACAGCGGCATAATTTCTTATAATTCTCTCCCAAGCAGTAATAGCTCCAGATAAACAAAATACATGATTAGACTTTACTGGTACTTTTCCTTGCCTAAAGTAGAAAAAAATAAAACTATCCACGTCTGGAGAGAAAATATGTTGGAAATCTACCAGCTGGATATGGGTTTTTGCCATACAACTGACAGCGTGCTCTGCAGACATTTATCAAATTTTGTTGTGGATAAAGAGAAAACCAATCTAAGTTGCCATCTAATCACTGCCAAGATCACTACTTCAGTATTTTTTTCTGAAGGAAATAACACTGCACATCCACTGAGGGTATATGAAAATAAAAATTGCCTTGGAAACATTTCACGATCTCTTATGTCACATCACAACATAGTACATAAGGCTCATTTTCCTTTGTACCAAGCTTTCTGTGGTTGTGCATAGTGCATAGAAAAGCTTATTGGAGAGTGGTTTTCAGCCATATTTGTTCTGTCTGAGCCAGTTTTTCTTTGCTTTGCAAAGAAAATGTTCATATTTTTCATCCTTTCATTTTTCCTATTCACCAGTGCACAGTCTTTTGAAGGCACATATATCCACACTTACACTGTTGATCTTGATTGGGACAGTACCACTGCATGTCTCAGAATAGATGTGGGCCAACCTACTTAGCTGCTCTCCATCTATCACACTTTCATATTGCAGTGAAATGAGGATAGGTTGACATTTAGATTATTTCTCTCCTCTTACTCTCTTGCCTATGGACACTGGAGAAGTATTAAAAGAAATATAGGGCCAGAAACTGGTCTGCTCTTGCATGGTTTGAATATGTCACCTTCAGTAGGTCAGGGAGCAGCTTACTGCATGCATCACATAGGCTGTCCATCTAAAACTCCTCACTACCTTCACCAATGCTGGATGATTAGGGCTTGATCAACTTGTAAGCAGGCAATACGCCATGAAGCAGATGGGAATGAGCATGGGCATAACAGGGACAATATAACAGTTAGAAATATGTTTACTGAGGATGGTATTCCCAGCTGGGAACCTAAAGACATCTGTCTGCACTGACCTAATGCTATTGTGCCAGTGCTAAAAGCATTGTGCTATTAGTAATCTAGCTAAAATCAAACACAGAACTAGAATAGTGATGATAAATAGTATGCTAAGGGAAAAAAGAAAAAGAAAAAAAAAAAAAGCCAAACACGTTCTGTCAAGACCTTATCTGCATCTCAAAAAATCTAAGAGATTGCAGCTGAAGTGAGTTTCCTCCAGCTCCTTTGACAGCTGTAAAATCGTTTTGGATGATATCTCAAATCATACGTAAGTGAAAGACTTAGGATAATTCAGTTTGTGAAAATGAAGATTCATCCATAATCTTCTACAGAATGCCAGGCAGGAGAAAACCTTTTGATTATGTACATCAGGCTGAACATTACAATGCAAATGTTGTATGCCATTTGATTTCACAGGTGAAGTGAAATCAAGCTGTCTGTGCCCAAGAAGCCCTTTTTCTCCTGCACCTTGGGGGTTTGGGGCCTTTGTTTATTTCTCGTTTATGGCTGCTTCATTTTCCCCTTGGGAGTGGAGAACAGCCAATATTCTCCTCACTCTGATGAAATTTAGGGGACAACTCTCAGGCACAGTTTGGAGGACATGTTGCGTGGTTTGATTTCACCATTACCAATATTTCATGCTTTCTGCAGTTCGATGGCAATAGAGTTGGCTGTAGAACCTACCATCTGTCATGGCATTTAAAAGATAAAAATGGAATCATAAATAGTGCCAGCTCATTACAAAATTGAGCCAGCGTGTCAAAATGGAGGACATTAGCATGTACTTTTAGCATCCTGCTGCCAGCATCTGATGTCAAGTTGCTAATCACTTGAAGTCATCTGTCCAAACAAGCACTGCCAAATCTTTCTTCCAGGCCAGCAGCACCAAACAATGCACACAAATTTATGACCAAAGAAAGTACTTCAGTGGAAGGTAAAAATCTGATCAGATCATTTCCCAGCCTCCTACCCACCCATTCCCCATAATTACCCATATAATTAACATAACCATTCCTTGTTTAAATAATAATAGTATTGTGCCACAATATTTATGTGTATATAAAACCAAATTATTGACCAAATGTTAACATCAAGGAACATCAAGTATTGTGATTAAAATATTTATTGAAAATATTTATTAAAGAATCACAATCTTACTTTTATTAAGGCTGACTTTCTAATTTTGTTTTAAGCTGTTGGCCTAAACAAAGGACATTGGCCTTATCTGTAAGCATAGTTTTTGTAGAATTATTGGTCTATTTTCATTAGCCTGGTTCAAAAGTCTTACAGATTTAAGCCACTTATGCACTACCTATCCTAGTGCTTTCCTTGTCTAAGGTAATTCTAGTTTTGGTCACAGTGTTTCCCAACTGTATTGCTAAGTTTCCATGTAGCCAAAGAATATTCCTTCCCATTTTTCTATTATAAGTGGATCAGACAAATCTCAGAACTAGAGTAAATTCAAAATCAGAATTTCCATCACATTGAATTTAGTAGAAGGGATAGTTTTAAGTTTTTCAACTGAGGAGAGTCCCAGAATAAACAGGTTTATTTGATATTTTCATGCCCCACTTTCCTGGCTTGCATGGAAAAACACTCCTAAAACAGTTGATGAAATACATCCTTGCAGCTTCAACATGCATCATGGAAAATGCATTTCAAGTCAGGAATCTTTTCACACTCTTAGAAGTGTGTGAATAGCTCTGAGTTGCAACTGCTAGGAGCTAAACATTTCATTTTTCATAATCACAAATGAAAAACAACTTTTCACATGGAAATCTTGAATTTTACAGGAAGTTCTTTTCTTGTCAAGGGCTCTTTTTGGACAAAATTCCCAATGTTAGAAGGAGTTAGCATTCTTCCTTCAAAAAAAAAACATATTTACTTCCGAGCTATTTTTTTTTTTTCCTGAATTTGCTCTTTTCTAAAGACACCTCTACAATCATTACCTAGAAATAACTCACTGCATTATTCCATTCTCTAGCTAATGGAGGTTTATTTAATAAAATAAGAAAACATTCACGTTGAGATGGAGCTCAGTTTAAGCTAATCTAAGAGAAAAGTTCAGAATCAGATGAAAGTAAACTTACATATCACTAGACAGCTGAATGTGGCCTATATGTAGTCAGCTTTGCTCAAAAAAACCTGGCTGTCTGTATGAATTTCTGAACTACTGTTATGTCAGAACAGATAAATAGACTCGTTTTTGGTATATTGAAGAACCACTTATGCATTTAAAAAGCCCACAACACAATAGACATACATGAAAAGACAGGCAAGCAGTTGGCTAATAGCTGGATGGAAAAGGCAGGCATATCAAGAAGTCAAAGAGAAATTCTACAGAGGATATTCTAAGTCCATCTCCCCTACTTAAATGTTAACATCTGTGTATGTTTGGGTGTTAGAGTAATACTTAAGCCAGTATAATTTAATAAATGTGGCTCTAGTTACTATTTCAGTATCAATTAAAAAATGTATTTATTACTGAGGCAGTCACAACTACGTGCATTGCAGTGAAAATATCTTTGTCACATGAACGTTGAGAATTCTCTCAGAGCTTCCTCTTCCTATTTATACATATTTTATCAGTAGATACCCAAGAACACATAGGAGAAGGGTATGTGGAGAGTTTTAATGTCTTACCTGAATGCATCTTGCCTTGAATGTGCCTTGGTGCTGTGAACATAGCAGACTATCTGACTTGCAACATCCATTTGACTGAAGCTCGCTATGGGGACGTCAGGATAGCTAACATACTCTATTTGTCCATACTGAGGAGGGGAAGTTATCACATAGAGAAGCTCTTCAGGCTTGTCAGTACCATCCAGTGAAAGGAGGACATCAGTCGTAATGTAGCCTCGATCCCCTTTTGGTACTTTGAGAGGCTTTATGAAAACAGCAATGTCTCCTGCAGGATAAACAAAACAACACTAAAATAGTGGTATTGAAGTGAAAGCTGATCTCTTACCTATCATTTAGCTATACACAGTCCCTCTCCAGTAGAAAAATGATAGAATCATAGGATTTTAGGGAATTTCACAGTGGGAGGGACTTCAGGATATCTCTAAACTATCTATCTTCTGCTCAGAGTAGAGTCAGCCATACCACCAGTAATTTCCAGGCTGCACAGGGCTTAATTCCACTGGGGCCTGAAAACTGGCAAGAGTGGAAGTAGCACAACATCCCTGGACATCTGTTCCAATCTCAGTTCCAAACTCACTTAATTTAGTGCTCTAAGAGTTATCCCATGACTGGTGACTGTAAGACCATAGCATAATCCTGGAAGGCAGGGACAGTTTTGAACAGTGTTTTTCTTACCTTATTACACTCTTACCATCCTTCTGCACTGTAGTTTACTCACAAAAGCTAGTTTCAGAAGAATATTTTCTACTCTGTTTGAACAGCAGCTGGGATTCCTGAAAGGTGCAATGCGCCACTGCTCTGGGCAGTGCCTTTTCAGATCTCAAAATCACTTCTGCAGCAGCAGGAACATCAGGGCTCTGGGCAGCAGGGAAATCTGAGCAGACAGACTTTGGGGTCTGCAGGGAGATTTGCCACGGGCCTGCATAGTGCTTGGGGATGTATCAGGACATGTATCAGGACATTTTTTCAGAAACAGGCACTGTGAAACAAGATCAGGCAGATCTTTACCCTTTTCCATGTTCTTGATATTTATGTAGAAGTCTACAGCTGGGGATCTGTTGTACCCATCCCACAGATAAAATGTGAACAAGTCTTGGTTCTTGGACCCTATAGCTCCTGTGTGGACGTATCTTACAAGGTTCATATCCAGTTCTTCCTGAGTGCACTTCATTCCGGTTTGGAGAGTCACCCAGTCTCTGCCTACCTAGAAAGATTGAATATCCTTCAGTAAACAGATGCGGTCTCCTATGCATCCTCCATAGTTAATTCTGGTTATTAGCAGCTATGACAGCTGATAGTGACAGCTTCCTGGCTGTCTTCCTAAGCTTTAGAGTCTTTGCACATAGAATATTTTGTGTTTTGAAGGGCGGTATATAGCTGCAGTTGTTCCCAAGGATCCGTAAGAACGCTGGAGAAAATATAGCTATCATGAGTAAATGCAGGTAAATGGAATTCAGTCACTTTTACTCAGGTAAGTACATTTCTACACACAGACATCAATAAGATGAAAATTAGTTTGCTGACCCAGCTTATGTTTTCTATTTCTTAATTAGACAAAGCTATTTATCTCCCAAACCATATCTCAAAAAATAGTGGGGAGTTGGCCAGGTGGGAATCCGCTGCTTGGGAAATAGATGGGAATTGGTTGACAGGTACCTTCTGTATTCAAACCATCAGCACTTTTGTCCTAGTGTATGAGTCTCTTATAAGTCAAAATTTTCATGGGGTCTACAGATTCTTGCAGAGATCCACAATTAAAATACATTACATTCACAGATCTTGAAAATCAGTTATTTTCTATTATATGCACACGTTTAAAAGGAGTTTTTTTTTTTTCTTTTTGTTACAGTGGCTTATGTTAGGTCGATCTATGCTTGCTATGTATTTTCTATATTATTTCTTTTTTCCTTCTTTCTGCCTATATTTTCGTTCAAAATCATTATTTCTTCCTCTTTCAGCCATATCTCCTGCATTTTTTCTGAACTCTGAAGTACTGTCTTGTCACCTTTACTGACCTAGGAATTTTTGCCTCCTGCCTTGTCATTTGCTTTCTATCACTCTAAGCTGACTTACAGCATCTCTCTTCATTGTCACCTCAGATGTTCTGCTATGCTTTTCATCTTCCCTCTGCTCTTCTTGAGGATATTGGCCTTAAGTGTCAAATTCTCTGAGAAAGCATTGTTTAGTTTAAAAACTCCTTTTACTGTTGAACTAGCCATAACAGTCTACTTTAAAACATGAAAGAGATTTGGAGAAAGGGAAGACAACTTCACTATGTGGTAACAAGACAGAGTTGCTTGCATGCCTACTTTATGCTGAAGTACAAAGACTAACCTTGATTTGAAGCTGGCCATTTTCTGGAAGTCTTTCAAATAAGTAGAAAATTCTCTCTCTAGGAGTATCTTTATCTTCAGCTGACAGAACAGCACCAGAAATAATTCGAGTTTCACCCATACGCACCTCTATATTATCCTTCCTGCAAAAAATCAGAATTTATATATGGCATAACAAAAGAAATACAAGTTTTGCAACATATAATTTCTCTCCTGGGAATATGGATTACCCACATGCTGACAGAAATAACTGAAGAAAGAATGGAATGAGGGCCCCTACTTCAGTTCAATAGAGAAGAGAACCAAACAGGACAGAACAGCTACTTCTAGTAGTGGTGAAAAACAACAAAGCAGCTACCTACAACATTATGGAATTCACCACATCTGTCTTTTCCCTCAGGTGCTATTCCATTTACCCTCTCACAGTGAAGGCAACATAAGCAGAGAGCCTGTCTTAACATGCTACTGCCACTACAGACCATAGAATATTAGCTCCATTGTTACTTAAATAAAAGATTCTCTTTCAGTTGAATGCTTTTTATCTTTAATAGACTCTGCCCGACAAAGTCCTAAGTGACTTTTCTATGCTCCTCATTGCAGAATTTTTCTGTGTTCTTGATCCAGAAGAAATAGTCATCATTAGCCAAAGCAAAATTTGAGAGAGCTTTGGGGAAAATCCCACATGGTTTGAAATAAATCCAGATGATTGCTTCAGCAAAATTGACTGTGTCTCTTCTGTTTCAGTTTTCAGCCAGTAACCATCCTTCATTTTGCCTTTGCATATACTGCTTTACTATTTTTGCTGTTATCTACCTTATATTTTTGTAATGTAGCATCCAAATCACATTATAAGACTACAGAAAAATTTCATAGAGCTTGAAGGGAATTCAGCATATTCAGACACCCCAGGGATGGGACCTACTCAAGGTAATCTGTACAGAGGGCACAGAGCAGGTTCGAAAAGGACAGATTCCTTATGTATTTTGGCAGATAAGCTCTACCAGACTCAACTGAACATGTGCAAGCCATATTATTTCACAGGCCAAATACTGGTGGATTTTCACAACAATTGCCAAAGGTGTTCTCCCTGGATCAGCCATTTCATTTGCCAAATATGAAGAGCTTGCTTCAAGACAGAGTAACAACTAAGATTTCCAAATAAGGTCTAAAAATTATGTATTGATATCTGAAAATATAATTACTGTCCTTGGAAAAAATTGAGCATTTTTCATAAAGTTGCTATATTCAAACTGAGTATGAAGCATAGAGATTTCATGTCTGGCAAAATGAGAATCAACCAGAATGGGATCATATAACAAGGCACATCAAGCCATATTAATGATAGGTCAGGCAACTCCAAAGTTTTACTCATGTCACTGATAATCACACGGGGGCTTTGCAAACTAGAAGACCAGGTATTTGACCCAGAGACTGTGTAAGCTAGGGAGTAAAAACTCAAACAAACAATGACAGAAGATAAATTTAGCTACATTCTCCAAATGCATTCTAATCCCAACACATTTTTCTGCATAGCAGTTAGTCAGTTAAGTCTTTATAGCACCCACATATCTGATCTTGAGATTAAACTTTCAAGTGGAATGCATGAGGGCCTTACATTCCCCAAGGGCACTCCTTGCTAAAGGATGCAATCCAAGTAGTGACAGATTGAGTTTTTGGCAGTCCTGTAGATAGGGACAATTTGCCAGCCATTCTTCAGCGTGTGGACCACAGCTAATGAAGATGAGAACTGAAACTCCTTAGGGCAAAAAGGTACAATTAGATCAAAGTACTGTCAGTCATATGTTCACCTGTAACACACTGCAGTGATAGCAAAAGGGAGCTCCTACCCCACAGCAAAGATGGACAGCTGCATATGATGGTTAAACTACATTTTTGTCAAGTTGGACAAGTTAGGGTACTACTACCTAACTGCTGGCATTACACCACATCACAGTGGAAGAGTAACAGCTAACAGCCATCACAGTGGAAGTCTAACAGGTAAGAAGCACTAAGAGCATACAATGAAAAAACTGTTTGGCAAGGAAATGGCTCAGTATATGTTACTGTTCACAACAGAAGTGGCAAATTAGCATTCCCAGCCAAAGAAGCAATGGTTTCTGGATTCAGCTGAGCAAAAATAAAAACTCAGCTTCCTGCTCTCCATCACATTTCTTCAGAGAAAAACAATGAAAAACAATATACTAACCTTTAACAAGCAAAGAACAAACTAGCAGTGGCACTTAATTATCAGATTATCAGAATCTGATATGACTACATAAACTATATCCTTTATTCTAATTCAAAATTGATTTTCCCCTTTGTTATCACTATGTGCCCCTTGATAATCCTCACTAGAAAACCAACATTTGTTACTGTAGGAAGATCTACATTGTAAACAAAACATTCAGAATTCTCTAGAATAGCAAATGTAGGTCTGGTTTGAAGATAAGCCAAAACTAGGATATTCTGTAGCTAAACATCCTGAGGGATCAGAATTCCTATTTTAATGGCAGCCTGCTTGACAGCCTGTGAGTCATTTCCAAAATGTAGGCTTTGGAGCCATATCCCCAAAGCTTTCAGGCCCCCAGCTCTCCATCTGCCTTCCTAAGGCTGGAAAGCAGCCAGGGGGATGGAGTCCCTAACAATACTCTGCGGCTGAAAAATGAGGATCCCAAGGGACAAGTTCCCTGCTGTAATGTCCAGGAGGTTCAACTCACTCACAGCCAGCTGTTTATCTGAAAATTGTCTGCCAGGAGATTTCTGACCAGATCTAATTCATTTATGAATTCTAGTTTTAGACAGTAAAGGAAATTGATGTATACCTCTTCAAAAGTTGAATTATGGCTGAGATATAGAGTATTTTTAGGAGAAAATAAGATAATCATCAAACTGAAAGACTTTCCCCAGTGAGGCATGAAGATACCAACTTCGTAGTCTCTCTCATGCCAAAATCCAGAGCTGCTTCCAGAGGGGTGTTTTATACAGGCAGTTTCCCTAGGGAAGAGGAAAGCAAAGCATCTGGGATGGATAACTTGGTGGACATGTGTAAGTACTGGTCCAATTTTTAAGTTGGTTTTGAAAGATAAAATAAATTTGTTGTCCATCTTTTTAAATATTTTATCTCTAAATGCAAACACCAACCCTATTTTCTCAATACATAGCAACATTCAGTGTGTCCTTCTTTCTCTAAAAATGCTTTTACAAAACAGACTAATAGTGAATGGCCCACATGGAAACATCTGTGTTGGCATTAGGCTGTGACTAATTATGGTGTCCTATCCCTATCAGTCACTGATTAGCTGTTTTGATCATTTTTGGATCATTTTGTCTGAATTTTTTCCTGTCAGAAACAGGAACACGTGGCTTACTTGCTCAGCACTGGTTTCTCATCATTAACTGGGATGACCTTTACTGAAATGGTTCTGAGGACTTTATGTTTCCCATCTGATAGCTGGATTTTAAAGCTGTCATTGAGGTTTTCTGAATCGTCATGCATGTACATCAGTTTCATACCTATACATCGGGAAAAAAAATTAGGAAAGAGAAAGGGAGAGAGAGAGAGAGAGAGAGAGAAAAAACAAATAAATTTGTCTCCTGCAAAATATTTTGTTCTGTTTTGCTCTGCTTCCATCACTCTTCTTGCATCTCCCCTCTATACACTCCCTGGCCACAGTAAATATTGTTCAACACCAAAAGATGTGCTTGGTGGGCTGCTTCTGTTCATTAATCTAACAGTATACTAGTGACTCAAAGACACTAAGCCTATCAATCTGAAGGAGCAGTCTCCTTCATAAAATGGTCCCTATTGTCTGCTCCCCTCACTCCAACTCATTTTAACAGGAAACATAGAAAGGATGGGATCATCAGTTAACACTTCTTTGTACCCCACATAATCTTCAGGAAGCTTCAAAATCTTGGAAAAGAAAGCTGTACTTGTGGCTATGGCTGACCTGAACATGACTGGTTCTCCACTATGGAAATGATGAAAAAGCCCAGTAATTGGAAGAGAGTAGAAAATAAAACTTGAGAAGTCTTAGTAATTTTTGTTGCTTACACATTTTTGAGGGATATTTCTTGATGGGTGGAAAAAAGTCTTTTCCTCAGGATTTGCGGACTGAACTACGTTTTGTGAGGCTGAATTAAGTTTATGTCCCTCTTGATACTGATAGATACAGTTTCCACACAGTGGCCTCAGTATGGAAGAATCTACCATAGTCTTAAATGTTAAATACAAATTTAATCACATGTTCTTGAAAGATGTTTGCCACTTCAAAGTAGGATAACTGATAATGGCAAGCTATTGAACCGTTTTATACTCTTTTCATTTACAGCTTTATCTATATCTACATCTATCCCAAAGATTTCTCACAATCAGCTAATATGTTTTTAAATCAGTTTGTCTCTATTTTAGGTGTTGTGAAACACTCTGAAATGTCTTGGTGATATGCTTTAATACTCCCTTTGTTTTTTTCAGGGTAGATGGACTCTCTAGACATACTACTACCCTTTCTGACATGTAGGCCTCTCAGGGTGAATTTATTGACAGCTCCTCAAATCATTAGACAGCATTAGCATTAGATAGGTTTATTTCTATTCTTAAACTTTCTCTTGAAAGTACCCCTAAGGCAAATGAATAAACAGATGCAGATTTCTTACTGTGCCTCCTTATCTGTTACAAATTACTAAAGGAATGAAAGACCAGCGTCAGAAGAGCACTGCACCTACCATTCTTCAGTAGCTCCATAGAAAAGTCATGAACAAGCAACCCACTGCTGTGGTGGTGAATTAACTCTTTGTACTGTAGAATATCATTGCCATGAACTCCATTAATGAGGAATCCATGTGAAGGCTGCTGCACAACATCAAATACCAAATGGTCTTGAGGCACATCCAGATCAACAGCATTGATAACAGAGAGATCCAGCTCTTTCACCATACCTTCTTGAACCTGAACATAAAAGAACAAAAGTCATACTCTTTTACATAAAAAGAACTTAAAATATTTTAGCATGGTTTCCTAAGTAGGCATTTTTTTTTTAGGAGTCTGTTTCGTCTATCCCTTCCTCAGTAGCTTGCTTGTCACACAGTTATTACTCATATTAAAACCACAATTTACAGAGAGGGGATAGACTACACCAGGTACAAAAATTACTCTGCAAAAATTATGAAAGACACTAGTGAAAACAGAAGTATAAAGATCCTTCTGCATTCTAGACAACGTATTTCTTTAAGTCCTCGCTTACTTTACTGCAGGTTACCAAACAGAATTGTGCACAGCTCCAATCTCACCAAAGCTCTGTCATACAGATTTAATGGGATTTAACAGAGCAGTTTCCTAAAACAAGCTGAATCATGCAAAGGAAAGGAAAGATCTAGAGAAACGTGTTCAAAAAATGTTTTGATTTAAATTAGAAAGTATTTTCTGGTATAAAGTAATTCTATGGCAGGCATTTTACTTTTTTCCTTACAGTAATGTTTCTTGCTATGAATTCTGGGACTTCATCATTGGTTGGGTTGATCAGCACAAAAAATGGAATCTCTGCTGAACGACGCAGGCCATCGGTGGCATAAAGTACAAAGTGGTCTGCTCTTGGCTCCACTCGCATGTGCCTGGCTTGTACATAGTTTATACTCAGGGCTTTCAGGTGCTTCAACTGAAACGAAGCTAGAAATTTTAGAAATGTTGAGTTAGCATTATTGTTTTCCTGCCCACTGGTCTGACACAGCGTAAACAATTCTGAAATGATGTCCTTCAGTGACCAAATCACTTCTGAAACTTTGCCTTGGAGATAAACACAGGATCAGGAATTTTCAAATTCTCAACTACAGCACTTTATTGACAGAAGTGAAGAGAGGCTGGAAGAAGCTTGCTTGAGAGAGTAAAGGGGTAGGCAGAGAAAGCAGATTAATGTTTCATATTGCTACCTCTAATAGATTGCAGCTGGGATGCATAAAAGAAGAATTGCCTTGTTTACTCCAAGTACCTCTTCTTCACATTTGCAGAACTGCAGACTCTCTTTGAAGTTCTCCTGCACAGTCCCACTGCTCTTAATTTGCCAGCAGCTGCTTTCATCAATAAGACCATATTAATGCTCACACCTGCATCTACCTTTCCACAGCCCATTGTATTGCCCTCTATGAGCACTCTGTGTTTCCTCTGCTTCATTACTATACATTGCATACACTTACCTATACTTATACCAATGTTACTCTTTTCAAACCCAGGAGAAGGCAGTATATTTTCAATATAACCAAACTGAGGAGGAGAAACCAAGACAAACTCTAAGTCATCTGCAGTGGTGTCAGGGTCGGTGGCAAACAAATGGTTAGAGGTAAGGGCTGTTGAGGAGCCCTCCTCCACAGCAAACCTTGCACCTGCACAAAAATACATGAGAAGCATTACTGCATGTTTAGCTCACTTACTGTTGAATGTGTTAATGAGAACAGAAATAATAAATAAGGAGGAAAAGATAATACATTATCTGTTACTGAATTTGGTCTGCTTTTGAGATTTTTGCTTACACTGTTGACTTTCCCCATCACAAAGCAAAGGGGAAGGGTATTGCAAATTGATTTTACTGGTAAGTTATTAAGTACGGTTTACATGATGTTCAAAATCAGTTGTTACCTCTGTTTGTCAGAGCATTAATTACATGATAGCTGTTACGAATTGCATATAATGAACAATTTCTCACGCACCACTGCTTAATTTCCCTGCTGGGACAATACTTCATTTCCAGAACATTGCTTAGGTGATAGCCTGTAAATTACAGAACTACTCATACATATGTTTAAATATTCTCTGGAATACAGAACATATACATGATGCCTACAAACAAATGACATTGAAAATGACAAACGTACAGAGAACACACCTTTAACAAGTATATCTCGTCCAAACCTTGTGATTAAATGGAAATCTAACTTTCTGTCCTGTTGTTAGGCTAAATGTACATTGCCACTACTATTTCTTTTTCATCTGAGTGTTTTTGATTATGAAAAGTACTGGTGAAAATGTAGTTTCATTATTAATTTGGTCAGTTACAGACATAGTCTAGGATTGTCTTTATTCATCAACAGAACATAGGAAATAAAATATTTCCTCCCTTGATATTTAAATATTTATTCAAACTAATACTTCGTTGTGTTCTTAACATGCAAAGATTGATGTAGAGTTGTATTTTGGCACTGTATAAGCCTAACAATTGCCTGAATCTAAGTTCAAGGATGAGATGTTGCTCAGTTTTACTCAGACACAGCTTATGTGTGCAACAATACAGGTATATAGATGGATAGGAGCAGATTCAAGCACTCTAATCTCCAGCCACGTGGTTTAATCATGCAGCTGAAGAGCCACAAGCCATTACTGACATTTGTACTTGCAATTGAATTTGGTGGTTACACTGCATTAGCAAAAGAAAAAAAAAAATGTGGAAATTTTGATTCAAAACTTTTACATACTGATCTCAGCTGACTCTATCAATACTGCATAGTACAGTTATAATAATATGCTGTAGTGAGAGGAAACTTTCACCAGTTGCAATAGATGGAGGTTGGTTGTCCACTGGAAGTACAGTGATGTTAAGGTTATACACTGGGAGTGGACGGTGAAGAGGAACTGGAGGAGGAAGAGGTCTGTCATAACAGCAGTCTTTCACATCTGGGCCGGCTTCATCATCAGAAACAACAAAAGTTAAGATCTCAAAGGAAAGATTCAAGCCAATCTCCCCACCTGGAAGAATAAAACAAAAAAACAAAACAACAACAACAAAAAAAAATGTTGCATTTGAAAATAAACGTCTTAACTGTAGGGAACTGAAACTTCATGAAGAAGAACCTTGTATCCTGCTAGGAGAGTCTGCAGGCAGAAGAGAGACCAAAATGACTTCAAAAAAAAAAACTATGGTAAAAGCTGACAGCCCTTATGAGAAGTATCCAATGGTGAGCCCAGTTCTCAGGCTGATACGTTGACTACAAAGGGCAGTGACTCCCTGCCCCACTTACAGTAAGTACTGGCAGTGCATTTACCATGTAGAAATTAGGGAACATGAAATACAGGCAATTGTGCTTGTGCAAGTCAGATTCTGCCCCTTGTTGCCTGTGCGAAGCATGGCCTTTAAAACAGCATTCCCAGCATCTAAAGGATATTGAAGAAAAGTTTGTTATGAGTAGCCATAATCAAGTACTTCATTCTCTTCTCAAATACCAGCTGTTCATTTTAGACAGTGCCAAGCCTGAAAATATCACATATATTCCCCACACTAGCACAAAATTAAAGACTAATTACACAGAAAACCAGAGCCTTTGGAGGAAAAAAAAAAAAAAAAGATTAAAGCTGTCATCAGGAATGAAGAAAAGAGAATCCCTTTCGTGCTAATGAAAGAACTAAATTAAGCAGGAAAGAGACTTAACCAGCCATTGATTTCTATGAGTAATTTTACAAAATGTATTTGGGGATTTTGAAAATAAAGCCACAACATGGTGTATTTTTAGAATCGCCATTTCCTTGAAGAATCTGGAACAATTCTTTATCTTGAAGCAAAGATGGACTGTAATCTCTCCAAAAACGAGTACCTCTGCAGACTGGCAAGGCGAGCAGTTAGCATCTCAGGTTGTCAGCAGTTTTCTATTAAAATTCTGCATCCTCATATCAAACATTACATTACTTGAGCTATGCACGATTATGGAAAAAAGTCTAAGATTTCTTTAATGTCATGAAACAAATAAAAACACTCAATTTAGTTCCTGTTTTATCAATAATTTTCCCGGGGAAAAAAATCATATTGTATCTGCAACAGTGAAAGATATTTTCCAGGATTATGATGATTTCATGTGTTTGATGTACTTTAATTTTCAGTTCAAAAAGGAATTTGGAAATGACATTGAAGCAGTTGGTAGTTTTACACCATCAGACCTGTTTCAAAACCAGCTTAGTTTTCTCTCCAATCACAACACGTGGGTTTTTCAGCAGCTCCTGCTGCAAAGATTTTGTGGGTTTAGGTGAAGATTTTCCACCAAAACTGTCTGACCACCTCCCAGTCTCCCTTACCAGTGTGCTTATAGGTGACCAAGCCAGAGATGACATCAGCCTGGGAGAAACGCTCCACAACAATTCCAGCTTTTCTCAGCACCCCCTGGGAGGGCTGGCGAACCAGCACGAACACCAGCTTCATGTCATCACTGTCTGCATCTGTGGCATATATGTACTCTGAGGAGAGGACCACTTCTTCACCCTCCGGGCAACGCACCACATTGATAAGCCCTGTTTGCATAACAGGTGGCTCATCATTCACGGGCAACACCTAATCAGAAAGAGAATTTAACATCTTTTAACACGACTTTTATTGTCATTCCAATGAAAACCTGCTGTTTTAAACGTTTAGCTTTCCGGTTCAAACCAGCAACAAAGTGTTAGGGTCAGAATACACAGTTCACTCTGTGAACTGCATTGAAACAATTGAATTAGGGCCACTGTTAAAAACCAAGAAAAAAAGTAAACCAAACTGAGAAGACTGTGTGGAGGAAATGGTACACTTGCTACTGTCTTCAGTTTCTCAGTGAGAAAGATGAAAATCCACTGTTTATCTTTAAATTCACTGCACAATTTTGGCAGTGACATTTATAGTTGGAGAATGAAAACTCCCTCCTATGTTTAATTACAGAGAGAATAATTCCAGGCAGAAGAGCTCAAGTTAAAGCAAACACAAATGCCCTTCAAACAGTCTGAGAAAAATTGGCTTTTACATTTGGCATAGTACCCTGAAACTGAAAGATGATGTGAAAAAGGAAGCCTAACAAACCCATTATCTCTCAGCTTCTAAGGTCTAAAGATTTTCAGAAGGTAAACTTTGCAGTATTTTACATAGACAAATGCTCTCAGAAGTTTGCAACACACTGACCTTGACCTGCAGAGTGAACTCTAAGAAGTGGATGCCATCTGTGGCTGCAAAAAGGACTTCGTCTGTAAGAGTCTCAGAACCATCATGCCGATAACTGGAAAAAAAAAAAAAAAGAGCTAAAA